GTTTGAGAAGATGATGAGCGGGATGTACCTGGGTGAGATTGTGCGGAACATCCTCATCGACCTGACCGAGCTGGGCCTCCTGTTCCGTGGGGTCGTGTCCGAGAGGCTGCGCACACCTGGTATCTTCGAAACGCGCTTCCTGTCCTACATTGAGAGGTAGCATCCTCCTCTTAACGTGGACAGTGTTTAGGAATGACTATTTCACAGGTGACTGGCTTCAAGTTGATTTTAAATGCAATGGCTGTGTGTTGATATACAAATACCTTTTTGTGTCACATCAACGACCATTCGGTAGATAGAGAAAGAGTGCTACTGGTGCGGTGTGTGATATGGTTGACGTAGTGGGTTGGTGTGGTTGACATAGTTGATACACTGGATATGACCGGTGCAGTGGATGGTATGGTTGATGTTCCAATTGGTGTAGATTGACGTGATGATTGAGTTGGATGGTGTGTTGGGGTTTAGCGGTGACTGATATGCACAATGTTGCAGTTGGATGTGGTTACTGCAGTGGACGGTGTGGCCTGCACTGTTGACACGGTGGATGATGTGGTATTTTCCAAATGTAATCCAGTGACAGGCTGGCTCTGCTGGAGGTGCGGTCGATCTTACGACAGCTGGGATTAGACTCGACATGCGACGATAGTCTGGTGGTGAAGGAGGTTTGCCAAGTGGTATCACGCCGTGCCGCCCAGCTCTGTGGTGCCGCCATGGCAGCTGTGGTGGACAAAATGAGAGAGGGCCGTGGCGTGCAGCAGCTGAAGCTGACAGTGGGCGTGGATGGCACCATGTACAAGCTGCACCCCAGGTAAGGCTCTACCAATGGGGCAAGATCTTTCATCGAGGATTGCCTCCTCGCCAGGTTTGACCCAAACCATTCTGGAATTATAATCTGTAGTTTGGTTGCCAATAATTTATTTGTACCTAATCTGATGGTATTGTGTTGAATTTTATTATAGTACTGCAAACTGTACACTTTTTTTAGGCGTAGGTCGACTGAGACATACATCCGGATTTGGTCCGTGGAAAAGGTGGCAGCCCTACACTTGCCCAACAGGAAGGATGCAGTGACTTAAACTTTCAGTGTTCAACAAGAAATCTCAGAGCCTGACTGGACGAGACCTCCACCTTTGGGGGTAGCTATAATGGCTGGAGAATGAGGATGTTTGTGTTTGTGTGTTCGCAGCTTCTCACGCGTGATGCAGGAGACGGTTCGGGAGCTGGCGCATCGTTGCGTGCTCACATTCCGCATCTCGGAAGACGGTAGTGGAAAAGGGGCAGCGCTCATCGCAGCGTCCAGGCTGAGCCAGGACGGCAAGGCCTGCGAGTAGGCTGGGGCCGCCCACACTTGGAGCTGGGCCCTGGGCTCATTGACTGCAGTGACCATTAACCTTAATGTCAGCTGTTTAGTCTCACCCCTCACTAAGAGCACAGTTAGATAAATGGTGTAGAATGTTTGCTTGGTTGTTAATAAGCACATTTGCTCACAATACGCGAACCACGTTTAGTGGTAACTGTTGTTGCTTGAATGGATGATGTCTGTCTTCTTCTTTCCATGACCTTGTCCCCATCCCACTCCTTTAAAACCGTTCACTGTGGAAGTTACTGTAGGCATTCCCACGTTCGTGACCTCCTGCCAGGTGTTGCCTCTCACCCCTTGTGCCCTGTGTCATGCATCACTGCCCGTGTTTAACGCTACTGACATCGACACGGCACTGTTTGTGTGCATGCCTGTAATTAGTAGTGTTGCTGTGCAGTATCCTGTCTCGTGTGCTGGTGCTAAGCTGCCGAGACAAGTTTGGTCGACACTAAAAAGGTAGAATACAGGTGCATTACTGAGTCAGATTAATTTTCTCACGCAATATGTTCTGGGTCGCCGGTAGACTGGAGTAGGTGGCACGTCATTAATGGCATACCCAAAGCGAGAGGCATACTGCATGTGGTGGGTGTAATTTTATTGTGGGTCAGCAACCCGGACAGACCTGGCTTGAAATTAAGCCCTGCACACTCGAGTTGGAGTATTTGTGTTTGGTCCACTCCAGACATGCTCACTGTATTGGTGTTGTGTTGTGCGCTCCTATGAGAATACAATTAAACTGGTAGGAACCTCCTGGTTACACCAGCCCACAGTGGATTATTGTGTCCGTCCGTCCGTCGTGCATCCAAAAATGGGAGGGGTGGGGTTGGGTGGAGAGGGGCTGGGTGGAGAGGGAGGGGCTGGGTGGGGAGGGGAGGGTGGGGAGGGGCTGGGTGGGGAGGGTGGGGCTGGGTGGGGAGGGTGGGGAGGGGCTGGGTGGGGAGGGTGGGGAGGGGCTGGGTGGGGAGGATGGGGAGGGGCTAGGTGGGGAGGGAGGGGCTGGGTGGGGAGGGGAGGGTGGGGAGGGGCTGGGTGGGGAGGGGAGGGTGGGGAGGGGCTGGGTGGGGAGGGTGGGGCTGGGTGGGGAGGGGAGGGTGGGGAGGGGCTGGGTGGGGAGGGTGGGGAGGGGCTGGGTGGGGAGGGTGGGGAGGGGTGGGGCTGGGTGGGGAGGGGCTGGTCACCCCGTGGTGCCCTTATAAAACTCAACGTTTAACCTACTCACGCCGGCTTGTGCCCGCCCTCACAATCGGGCATATTTGCGGAATACACCACGCCGCCGTTGACCGAGCAACCCAACGTTTCTACCAGCTCCCTCCGCAGGAGAATGTGTTTTCTGTGTCAAGCAAACAGCCGCTTTCGCGGTAAGTTTATGTTATTTGTTACACAGAAGATCCCGTTTTACAAGAGTGATCCGTGCTGCGTGAGCTTATCAACAACAATACAAAGACAACGGCAATATTTTGATTTACAGCTTTCGTGACTGCAAGGATTAATCTTCTTTGGTTCTTTCGGTAAAGTCACGTAGAATGAGAATAAAATAATAAAATAAAATAAGACAATACAATTCTCACGACGTTTCGGCCACAACAAGTAGCCTTCTTCAGGTGAAAGAACAGAACTATCGGGACGACAGAGCTTGAATGAACGCTGTTAAGATTCGTAACGTCTTTTAAGCTCGGTGAGAGGCGTGGAGAGCCTTGACAAAGGAGTTTACCTATCAAAGCAGGATAATTTAGCATTGAAATATCTGAGGGATTAGCTTGTGACAGAAATAGCTGTGTTAAAGTCAAAGTTTACATATACCAACTATCATAAAGTAAACCGATGTGAAAAAAACGAAATATATATTACATCAATATAATAAATGTACTTAATATATTCTTCAATAAGCTGAGCTATTAATCACAAATCAACTGGATATACACTACACTATATAATGAATACCATATAGTAAACCAATAAAAAAAACTAAATATAAGCTCCCTCAATGTTATCAATAAACTCTATATACTCTCCAATCAGCTGAGCCATCAACAATAAGTCGTTATATATCAATGCCATATGGCGAAAAATGGTGGTTTTTTCCCTTCCCCTCAACGCCAGCACCACGAACAGCGACGTTCAGGCGGACGAGTCAATCCATGCTCGGAAGTCAAAAACCAGTGCAAGTGTAATGTGAAAAGTTGGGTATGTAGGCTCTACATTTGTCTAAAAGTGTCAAACACACGAATCGAAAACAACTGCAAACACGTGTGATGAAGAAGGCACAGGTGCAAGTATGCTCTGTGTTTTGGTTTAATTGGGAAGAAGAGCGGGGGAGTGAAGGGAGGGAACCACGCTAAATGAGTGGCAAGGGTATTGCAGTAACGTGGAGGCGCAACATGGAAATATATTTTTTCCAAGCAAAGTTTTAGCAAATGGAATCGTTAATACCAATAAGGAGACACTACTGAAGGCTATGGCAGGGATTGCACATGGACTGAGTGGTATTTTAGGTTCTTGGCAAATTTGTTTGAGATAACCTTTAGGATGAAATCACATGTTTTTTTTTTACCCTGGAAGTAATAATATCCTTTAGTGTCAATGAGGTTTGAGACTTTTTTCCGGAGGGTCTTGCAAATGGGGTGTTTGACCAATTCCTCCCAGTACTCCCCTCAGGCTGAGCATTCCCCAACTGGCTTTCATGGCTAGTCAGTGGCCCACCACCCCAAATTAGTGGCATCTGTAAATTAACCTACTCACCCCCCCCCCCCCCAGCTGAGTGATACCTGTCAATCAACCTACTCACCCCCCCCCCCCAGCTGAGTGATACCTGTCAATCAACTTACTCACGCACTTGACCCAGCTGAGTGATAACTGTCAATCAACCTACTCACGCACTCCCCCCCAGCTGAGTGATGCCTGTCAATTAACCTACTCACGCACTCCCCCCAGCTGCTGAGTGATAACTGTCAATCAACCTACTCACGCACTTCCCCCAGCTGAGTGATACCTGTCAATCAACCTACTCACGCACTCCCCCCAGCTGCTGAGTGATACCTGTCAATCAACCTACTCACGCACTCCCCCCAGCTGAGTGACACCTGTCAATCAACCTACTCACCCCCCCCCCCCCCCAGCTGAGTGATACCTGTCAATCAACTTACTCACGCACTTGACCCAGCTGAGTGATAACTGTCAATCAACCTACTCACGCACTCCCCCCCAGCTGAGTGACACCTGTCAATCAACCTACTCACGCACTCCCCCCAGCTGAGTGATACCTGTCAATCAACCTACTCACGCACTCCCCCCAGCTGAGTGATACCTGTCAATCAACCTACTCACGCACTCCCCCCACTGCTGAGTGATACCTGTCAATCAACCAACTCACGCACTCCCCCCAGCTGAGTGACACCTGTCAATCAACCTACTCACGCACTCCCCCCAGCTGAGTGATACCTGTCAATCAACCTACTCACGCACTCCCCCCACTGCTGAGTGACGTCCACAGCCGCCCGGTGACGTCTTTGTTATTGTCCGAGGACACGCCCGACTCTCGCGCCGCGATTGGCCAGGCTGCGCGCACGTGCCGGAACGCGTCGCCTCGGGCATGCTCGATCCGATTGGTCGCCGAGCCCGTCCGGCTCGTCGTATCGCTCCGCGCGGTGACGCGCCCCGCCCCTCCCCGAGCCGCTGCGCGCCCCGCGCTGGAGGCGGTGTTCGTCCGCTGGCCGCAGTGCGTCCTCACCACTAGGGCCCCGCGACCGCACCCAGGTGAGTGGGGTTCCAGGCACCTCGGAGCCTCGCCGACCAACGCTCCCGGGTTATGCCGCGACCGGGGCATCGCGGTCTCGTTGCGTCCGTGCCGCGAGGGAGCGTCGCGGATAACGAGGCGACTCTCTGGCGAGGCTCCGCCCCGCTGGACCCGGGGCCCAGCGCGCGGTTTGGCTCCGGGGTCTCCGCGGGCGGCGCGAGAGACCCCGACTCCACCGAGACGTTGCTTGCCGCCTTATACGCGGAGCATGCGGTTTGGGTTTCGCGTTCGCCTTGGGCCGTGCCGCATCCACGTGGGGGGGGGGGGGGGGGGGGGGGCAGGGAAAGGCTCGGGGCAAGGCGAAGGGGGCAAGGCAGCATGGTGGGTAATGCACGAGCAACGCATTTTCACGGGCAAACCCAGGATGAAGGCAGCAGATTCATGGGCAAGACCAGAGCAGAGAGCAGCCTCGTTGAGAGGGCAATGCAGGGACGAGCCCTCGCCGTGCCCATCACCGAGCTCGTTTACCTGACCGCGTTGCCGCCACAGCAGGGCCGACAGCGAACGGACGCGCGGGGGGCCACTGAGGCGACACCGGTGGGGATTTGTGCCCCTGACCTCCCGTGGCCGAGGTGAACAAGAGGCCGCGCGTGTGGGAATTTAAAATAATTCACAGCGTCGTGGTTAATTGTTTATCAAGTTAATGTGCGTTGCTCGGGGTGGTGGTGAATTGACGCCTGCCGAGCCATAGGTCAAGGGAACCGGGGACCCGCGGAGCACGGCGGGGGTCTGGGCGTGGGTCTCCGTGGGGCCGGATCCTTGGGTCCCCTTGGCCCCCCTCGCTCCAGGATCTCGGGGCAGCGAGGGACGGGGTAGCACGAGGGGGAGGAAGAAGGAGGCGGCGGCGCTGTGTCGTTCACATTCACGCCGAGTGGGTTCCATTGTTCGCCCCCAACTCGAGTGGCTTCTCGATGGCTCTTGCCTCCATCACGGGCACGCAAGAGGAGGACGCGCGGGGAGGGAGAGGCGACCCGGGGCACCCTGTGCCTGCCTCCCTCCTCCCCCCGCTCGCCCCCTTTGGGCACCGAACAAAAAGGCGTGCGGGGTGGTGAGTCGAGCCAAGTCGAGCCAATTTGCAGTTCCCAGGAGCGGCGAGCGACGCCGAAACAATCCCGTGGGAACGGCTCCCGCCCGTTGGGGGTCTCCTGAAGTTCCGCGGAGGAGGGTGGCGGCTCTGCACTCTGCAGCCAGCGGCGAGCGAATTATTTGTGCCCCATTAGGGCTGCGTTGCGGGCACTTGAGCTGAGAGCAGTGTGCGGTGGAGGCGGAGGCCACGGCCAGGCAGACGGGTCCCTGAAAGTGGTGGGTTATCTGATTAGTGGGGTCTCTGAGTTTTTGGGGTGCCCCATAAGTGCTGAAACTCCACATGGGGTGGCTATGCTTGTGGCTAAATTTGGGATCGGGGAGAGAAGCTGCACTCCGTTGCCGTGTTAATTAGAAATTGGTAAAAGCCCCTCTGCAGTTGCCTGAAGTTACGGCCGTGTTCGCCAGGCCAGGCGCATCGTTGTCGTCGTTGCCTTGGGTTGTGCGTTCATTCTTCACACTGCACTTGGCGCTTGCGTGCGGGCGATGTCCCGGGAGGGAGGCTCGTCCAGCCCCCCAGGCACTGTGTGCAGATGCCGGCTCGGAACTCCCATCTTGTCTTAGCAGGAACCACACACAATGGGCGGTTTATCGGATGCCGCAACTGGGCTCGGTTTCCCAGAGATGTGTGAGGTCGCTCGATTTCCGGATCCACTGTTGTGCACGACCTTCCCCGGGGTGCATTTATGAACCAAACAAAACTGGACTCAGCCGGCGAGCCATTGCGATGACTCCCAGATTACAACGTAGAGGCATTAGGTATAATCACCCGCACGTGTGAAAACATTTTCTGCTCGCGAACTGTAAGCGATACTGATTGTGCAGCCACCACCAACTCAGTAGATTGTCCCCAACTCTCAGTTTACGCGGATAAGAATAAAAGGAAATGTCACACGACAGCTATAACACGAGGCCCCTGCGAGGTGACTTTGAGCGGCAGATTCCAGCCGATGGCTTCACAGAGCATTGGGTTCAGCCAGGAGGGGCGGGATATGCTCCCCGGATTGCGTGGACTTAACGTGAACACGCAGCGCGTGGAGGCGCCTGTGACGGGACCGGTGGCAGCTGGTGGTGTTCAGCCCAGCCAGTGACTGGTCTCTGGTCTCAGCCAATGGCTGGTCTCTGGTCTCAAACAGTGGCTGGTCTCTGGTCTCAGCCAGTGGATGGTCTCTGGTCTCCGCCAGTGGATGATCTCTGGTCTCAGCCAGTGGCTGGTCTTTGGTCTCAGCCAGTGGATGGTCTCTGGTCTCAGCCATTGGCTGGTCTTTGGTCTCAGCCAGTGGCTCGTCTCTGGTCTCCGCCAGTGGATGGTCTCTGGTCTCCGCCAGTGGATGGTCTCTGGTCTCCGCCAGTGGATGGTCTCTGGTCTCAAACAGGGGCTGGTCTCTGGTCTCAGCCAGTGGATGGTCTCTGGTCTCAAACAGTGGCTGGTCTCTGGTCTCCGCCAGTGGCTGGTCTCTGGTCTCAGCCAGTGGATGGTCTCTGTCTCCGCCAGTGGCTGGTCTCTGGTTTCCGCCAGTGGCTGGTCTCTGTCTCCGCCAGTGGCTGGTCTCTGTCTCTGCCAGTGGCTGGTCTCTATCTCCGCCAGTGGCTGGTCTCTGTCTCCGCCAGTGGCTGGTCTCTGGTTTCCTCCAGTGGCTCGTCTCTGGTCTCCGCCAGTGGCTGGTCTTTGGTCTCAGCCAGTGGATGGTCTTTGGTCTCAGCCACTGGCCGCCGATGCTGCTTCGTGTAAAGGCAGCGGGAGTTTTATGGCGCTCGTAGTGGATTTACAGCACTGCCGATTTATATTGCAACGTGCAGGAGCAGCTTCAGATTACACGTACGTGCGGTGGTGGCTTGCTGCAGTTCGCGATTGCTTTTACGAGTTGCATAGCCGTAATAATTCATGCGAGAAGCAGAGGCCCCTTTAATTGTCCACTGGCTCACTGTAGTCGAAAGAACTGCGTCTCATTCCTGTGCATATGGAGCAGCGCACAGGCTGGACTCCCATGTCTAGCTTCATCTAAACAAGTTGCAGGTGGCGCAATTTTTTTGTGTGCCTCGGTTGACTTCACTCAAGGCTCTGAGAGCCGCGCAGTGTAAATTGTGCCGATAGCTCATTAGCATCACAATGTGGACCCTTGCATTTAACTCCAGTCGTACAGTCTGAACCATGCAAAATGACTTGGCTGGCTCTACACCACACTGCAGCACTACAAAGTAAGTAGGTGTGTTTGCATGTGGCAGGATTTCACGAGAAGAGCACTGCCCCCTAAGAAAGATGACAATGGGTGTCGGGCCCCGGGGCCATATCGGCTGCAGGAAGACAGTGCTGGAGGCAGGAAAGGGGACTTAGAACTTCCTGCCTTCATTGTGTGTACACTTCATTCGTTGCGCGTGCGCACTTGGGCCTGTTCTCGCGCATTCACTCCAATACACATAGACAAAGATCCCCCGTAGAGCCTTAACAGACTGTTGGGGCAAATGCTGTTGGCGAGCACCTATGAAGGTCTGCATAGCACACGAGGCGGTAGGTGGCTAGCACCACGTCCGATTGCCTTTGTCTCCCCAGTGGCGATGTTTATTCACTGTACCAAGTACTCATTTGAGGCCTAGTCCACCTAGGGGAGGACTAGGACCGGTTCAGATATTTGTCACTTGTGTTGGCCGTGAGTGGGAATTGAACTCGGGTAGCCGGGTTCATAGCGCAGTGCGCTAACCGCTACACTACCGCTCCCCACTCCAATACCGCTCCCCCACTCCAATACATGCTCACTCCGACACTCTTCAGCAACAGCCACTATTCACCACCAAGTGGTGCTGACAGCAGCACAGCGCGGATCCTAGGTGAGGTAACATTTGAAGTCACGTGAAGTGAGTGAGGTAGGACCGGTTCCGATATCACTCGCCACTAATGTTAACATAGCTGGGAATCAGATTGAAAGTTTCCTTGTTTGTAGCACAATGTACTAACCACTACACCACTGCTCTGCACTAAACACACTACAGTACAAATACTCCCAACAGCACACACCAAATCCAACAACAAACATTCCAGAACAAGAATACCCCCACTATCAAACACACACTCCACTCCCTCTGAAAAACTTCCTCATTCCAACATAAGTTCAATTTAACAAGCACTGCATCTTGGACTTATTTCGCACCGTACGTAGCCAACCGCTAATTCGAGGTGCAGAAGGACAACCAACTAAACGCAAAACGCAACTCTAAAGAAATTCGTTTTAATTTAAGATTTTTAAAATTGCAAAACAAACTCCAACACAAGCTTATTCCAACGACCTGCACTCGCAAACACACCTGCACAGTCACAGAGTATCACCGGTAGCAGTCTGACACATTGGACCAATGCAGGGGCATCGATTAAGCAAAGCAAAGCTATGCCCACTGTTTATTACAGAAAACATTGCAGCTTGTGCTAACCGCTTTGGAAAGCAAGATGCATGGTTCTGGAAGATAATGGCAGTGCTGTGCCATCTGGGTTTTATTGCGGGGCAGCCCAGCGCTCACTCATCTTCGTGGTCACAGCAAGAGATGCTGGAAAGTGGTGTTTCGTTATGCCTCATACAGTAATTGTTTTATTGATCAAATTACCAGTTGGAGGTTGCGTAACGATAATGGATTGTCAATGGTCGTGACGTGTGCTCCGTCCACATCAGGTTCTGTGTGGTGTTTGCAGCCCTGCAGTAGTTGCGACCACACGTCATGGGAACATTTAATTGCTGACATGAGCTCAGGTTCGGGGGGTCGCCGAGCTTCTGACTATTTTCGATGGTGTTGGAACTGCCGTGTGAACTGGCAGACCTGCACACTTTTCTCTTCTCTCACCCGGTACTCGGTTGTCTGTTACTGGAGGGGCCGGCGTTGTGGTGCTGCTTGTTGGGAGTGTAAAGATTTGCCAACTGCGCACTTGGCGAACAATCGCAGGTCCTGGTGACATATAGTGGCCCAAAGGAGTTTCCAGTGAAGTTCGTATAAAACTAGTGCTTGGGCAGCATGATATTGATAATGGAGGTTCCCATTAAGGCATCAGGAAAAAAGGGAACCAAACTGGCTTCGAGGGGGTGTAGCGTCGTGTAGGGTTGAGACTTAAGCAGTGCTGTCTGGTGGCTCAGTGGTATCTTGGGTAACAATAATTCCCTTTTATATATCCAGGAAAGCCTCGTAGTATCTCAATATTTTTTCAGGAGGGTCCATTGTTCAGATATATGTATAATCCATTGTATGTTATTTTGCACTAATTATTGCAATTGGGACTGCTCTTTTGGTTTGCTGTGTGGTTTTGATATGTGGGTTTTATGTAGTCTCTGACTCAAAACAAGTCCCAGCTGTCTGGGTTTGCAACGAACTAACAAAGCGGAAGAAAATCGCAGGCTGGATGAGAGATTGCTTATTGCGGGATGGTGGTAATAAATAGGGTGCCGGAAACACCGCCTACTCTTGATAACAGAAAACAGACAGAATAAAATTCTACTCGGCGTGGTACGAGGCCGGAAAGGCGTGTACTGATGGAGGTTGGATGCGATCTTGGAGAGTCTAGCAGCATCGCAGCGCAGCCTAACCGCGGGGAAACAGCAACTGTGGTGGGGTCTCGCGTGGCGTTGTGTAATGTTCCATTTTACCCGGCGGGTTTCCACACGTTTGTTTTATATCCAGAGCCGAACGTTGATGATTATCACGAGCGCCACTTGGCTCTTTCGGCCCTGGAAGAGCTCTCGGCACCGCAAACGGTTGGCCTGGAGACGGAGCGGTTGGTGTTTTGGCGACAGTAAAATTAAACAGCACATGCGTTGCATTCGTCTGGCGAACGCTAATAACTACACTTTGCTCAGGATTTGTTTTTGCCTGCAGAACTAGCATTTCTAATGGTGTAGACTGACTATGGGGATGGCTGCCCTGTACTGACCTGATCAAATTGGCTTAGAGATGGAAGATAATTCACAGCGAGTCATTTTTATCGGTAAACGCAATTCTGTTTGCTTTACGTTATTTATTGCAGGCAGGTTTTATTGTTTCGTTATCCTCCACATCTGTAAAGGTTTACAGCTGCTTCATCAGCAACGTGGTGCGGTTTGTCATCGTAATTGGTGGACAATTCATGTTCAGTCACCGCCCACGGCTGCGCTATAACCCCTGCTGCATAACACTGCCCCTCCCCGTGGGCAAGGTTGCAGCTGTGACTGGGAGTGGTTATGTGCTTTAGCCCATGTTGGGTAAATGTACGGTAGGGGGAGAGGGATGGGCTGAATTTTTTTTGTATGTGTGCGTGCAGTGAAGAACGATGAACGGGGACTCGGGCCAGGATGGAGGGGGGGTGGTGGCGGTGGCGCCCGTGGCTGCAGAGCCCCCCAGGGAGAGCTACTTGGACCGGATGGATGACCCCGAGTTCCTCCGCGAGCGAAACATGGCTGCCGACCTGCGGCAGGATTTCAACATGATGGAGCAGCGCAAGCGCGTGTCCGTCATTCTGCAGAGCCCGGTACCATGCCGAGCCACAGGATAGCACACAGTCTGGCATCACACCTATACTATACCACACCACTGCACACGCCGCACAGCGCCACATCACACACCACATATACTAGACCATTGCACACACCACACTGCTCCATACAGCACCGGATCACACACTACACGTGTACTATCCCGCACCACTGCACGCACCACTACCCACCATGCACAAACTGTACCACACCATATTAACCACACAGTGCCACATTCTACAACACAGCATCAAATCACAGAGTATGTAGAACCGCACAGCATCAGATCACATATCATACAAGTACTACACCACATCACGCAGCACAACACGGCGCTACATCGCACGCCACAGGCAAACATTGCACTGCACCACACATACTGCCGACGTGTAACCGAGGGCCATGTCACACACCACACGGTGCCATGTCATGCGCCGCCACATTGCACCATGCTACACACAAACCCTCTTATATGCAAAACGTTTGACTTGTGTGTCCAGAAGATTGGTATCGCCGAGTGCGTTGGTGTGGGTGTTGCAATGGCCAGTGATGTCATTGCGTAAACGGCACGCTCCCCTCCCCTACCCTGTGACTCACTCAAAGACCCCAAGGGACCCACCCCCCGCCCAATCCCACTCAGCCAATCACGGGAGTCCATACTGGCGGAATAAAACCTGGATCCTGTCACTAATGGCCACTAACCATTTTCTATCAAACATTAATGGGCTGAAACGTGTCCCGCCCTCCCCGTTCCTCTCCCCGCCTACTCTGTGCCTCGGTGTGGTGCCTGCCTGTGCTTGGGAGGTTTCCTGAGCATCGCTCGCTTGCTGCGACACTGCGAATTGTAGCTTCCTGTGCTACGTTATTGGCGAACGGTTGCCCAACGGTGACCAAGGTGTCACCGCACAGGGGCCAGAGGGTGGCGTGCGTGGCCGTTAATCCCACGAACGAAAAAGCTCCGCTTGGGTTGTGAGCACTCGACGGCGGGTCACTGAGTGCTGCTCAGGCAGGGCTCCTCGTCCCACGTCGCTCCCACATGGCGCTGAGACTCCAGCAGGTAGGGTCAAGGGGGGATGGCTGCCGTTACACGGAATGGGCCTGAAGCCCCCATGTGGGATCTGAATGCTGAGCCCCCTCTTGTTTTTCGTGGCTTTGGATTCAGTGTAAAGTCCACATTGCTGCGATTGGAGCTGGGGGAGGAAGTGCTGTATCGTACTGGTTCACGGTGCCCTGCGGCAGCGTAGCCATGTGAGCGGTGTTGACCCTTGGCTGCGGTGCTGATCTGTGCCAAGAGTTGGGGTTGGGGAGTGTGGTGGCTGTGAAGCAGTGGGAACTCTGCACCTCAAGGTTACAAGGTTAACCATTCACCAAGTCCTGTTTGTGCTGGGTGACTGTCAGGGGCTGTAGTTCGTGTTCCCAGAGTGCTTAGAAGTCCCTCTTTACAGCGTTGTTACATTTTTATACATCTTGTTCTCGTTCCATTTTAAAACATTGACCTCGCTCATTGGGCCACTCCGTCTTCGCGATGAAGGGGTTGTTTTAGATATTTCCATGGCACCTTGTGTTTTTGGCGTGTGCTGCAATGGGTGGGGGCCTGGGTGTTTGTCTTGGACTTGGTGAGTGTGGTTTGCTGTGTTTGTATATTCTTTTTTGTTGCTACATATTGCGCAATTTTAGTTTTTGTCAAGGAATGTTTAATTCCAAGGCTATTCCCATCTGTGAGGGAAATGCATACAGCTGTAACCTAAACTGCATTTGTAGCGAGTGGTCTCAGGCTCTTTGCCCCATGCCTGAAACTCCTTCACTGTGTGCCAAGTCGCGGTTATGTTTAAAGACGGTGGGGGCCCAACAATGTGAGCCGTACATTGTGCTGCTCGCCATCTTAAAACAACGGAGATCTCCTGGTATTTATCCAGAAATAGAAGCGCTCCATTCAATCATGCTTTTGGGTTCTTGCCAAGTTCCTCCACAACCCTCGCTGATTTTGGGTGAAGGGAGGACCCCGTTTGTTTGAGGGCAGCAACATCACAAGAGGGCAGAGGTGGCCTACACTCCACTGAAAGCCGTTGAAAGACCTCTTTGTTTTCTGTTAATTTGTCACTCTCAGGCCTTCCGGGATGAGCTGGAATCGCTGATCCAGGAGACGATGAAGAAGGGAAAGGACATCTCCGGGCTGAAGGCACTGCAGCAGATCGCAGACTACATGCTGACAGCTCCTGGGCCGTGCCCGACACCCTCGGCCAGCGGTATCACGGGGCTCAACATGGGTAACGCACGCAATACAGCACAGCACAACCACGATCCTCAATCGCCGGTGATGTCATGCTGCTGCAGGAAACACCGCAACTCCCCTCTCATGGCCTTAACTAGTCGGGCAGGGGGGGGGGGGGTTGACTCATACGTGGAGGATGATGTTCTTAACGGTGTCCCACATGTGTGGATGTGTTGCGTGCCACCCTCCTGCCCCAATCTCGCTGCCCTCGCTGCGGCCTTGCCCCCGGACGGGTTGTGGAGCAGGAGTCGGGATGGTGATCCCCATCAATGACCTGCGTGGCTCCGAGTCGAGCACCTACGTGAAAGGGGAGAAGCTGCTGCGCTGCAAGCTGGCGGCCGTCTACCGCTTGGTGGACCTCTACGGCTGGTCGCAGCTCATCTACAACCATATCAGCGTGAGCCTCAACATGGCCACTGCACTACTGCTCGTTGCCCAAGGGCGTCACAGGTTCACCTTTGGTGTTAGCGCCATGGCTCGTACCACCCTGACATTGCGCGGTGTGGCGTGGCACTCTACCGTGCGTTGTGGTTGAGATGTTGGCTCGTGTTGTGTTGCTGGTTCCATGTGGTGTGTGCAGGCAAGAGTGAACAAGGAGCAGGAGCACTTCCTGATCATCCCATTCGGTCTCCTCTTCAGCGAGGTTACAGCCTCCAGCCTGGTAAGAGCTCACGTCTCAGTTGAAGCCCTTCCCACGTGCTCGATGTTTTATTTGTTTGTTTAAATATTTTTGCCCGTGCTGTTAACGCGTGCGCAGGTTAAGGTGAACCTGCAGGGTGAGATAGTTGACCGTGGAAGCACCAACCTTGGCATTAACCAGGCGGGGTTCACGCTGCACTCCGCCATCTACGCTGCGCGGCCCGATATCAAATGTGTGATCCACGTGCATACACCTGCCGGCACGGCCGTAAGTAACCTCGCACACACAGCACTTACCTACTCACTCGCCCATCCACTCACACATTAATGAATTAACCCACCCATCTTATCACTCCTCGAATCCATCTACCCTCTCAAACCAGGCATACATGAATTCACCCATTTGCCACCTCATTCATTCACCCATCACTGTCTATGTACACATGTGTACCATGTACCATCCATGATTGGAAATGTATCAAATATATCTTTTTTTGTTTATCAAATTATATCATGACCGCAATTATCTTTTCTTGGGAATGTTAAACTTTGCTTAACATTCCACAACACAACTCCCCCCTGTTGGCCACTGTTGTGTACTGCACGTGTTCCTTATAAATCTCTGTGTATTCAGTGACATGGCTGGGCCATCGACTTGCAAGTCCAGTAAACCCTCACTATGCGAGAGTTCTGAATTTGCGAGTTTTCACATATTTGCAAGCTGCTAAATGTGTACTAGTTCCCTATTCGCGACCCACCGGACTCCAGTGTTTGCGAGTGTATGTAGTGCCAGACCACCCACAGGTGCGTGCAGAATGTTGATACATTTTAAACTTGTCTGCGAAGATTAGGCACGACCCCCTCTCGGCGGCTCGTTTAGTCCTCAAGTCTCGCAGTAATCCCGCTCGGAACTTGCTATTTTTCATTTTTACTTCATACGAACTTAGTCTACTCGTTTATACATTTTGGTATAAACGAGTCGACTGTAAGGTCCATTTGAAAAGAACACGAATGCAATCAGGGAAAGTGTTGCGGCTATCACTACCGCTCCAGAGTGTTAAAATGATAACTGTGTGCTGTTGTTATGAAACACCTGCATCTCCCGAGGAGTCATCCTCCTGAATTCCTCACCACCACCTCCTTCATCGTCAAAGCGTCATCATCAAACTTAAAAAAAAAAAATTCTTTATATTTAATTATTATTGTAGTAATTGTTATTAAACATTGATCATTTGTCACCTATGTTGAATCGTACCAGGAATGTAACCCCATTTTTCCCATTTGAACAAAGTTTCTGCATTCGCGAGCGTGTTCAATGTAACCATCACGGACAGCATACCTGTCAACCCCTTATCAGTGCCTACCTTATTACAGACCAATTCAGATCTTATTGGTCACCCCGTGCTCTTATAAATCTCAGCGTTCATCCTACAAAGTCCCATCACAAGGGAGAAACACAAATAGACAAAAAATATATGTTTCCCGTATTGAAAATGGCTGTACGCCGTATGGACCTGAAAACTCAATTTCCCTGTACAAGAATACAGCAAAACCTTGGATTGCGAGCATAATTCGTTTCGGAAACGTGTTTGTAATCCAAAGCACTCGTATATCAAATCACTCGTATATCAGTTGTGATCACGTGACGCTCGGCAGACAAAGCGTATACGTACTACTCGTATTGCAAGACCTCGTTCGTTTATCAAATTAATATTTATTTAAACATTTTGCTCGTTTTGCAAAACACTCGCAGACCAAGTTACTTGCAATCCAAGGTTTTACTGTACAGGTAAACCGTATGGGTTGACAGGTATGGGATAGAGAGGATTTGCTGTATTTACTCACTGATGTCTTAGCTCCTTCCTTCTGTTGGCCACGGCTACTGTATTGGCAGCTACAATCCCCCAACCACTGTAAGCATGATGCTGCTGTATTGGCAACCCATCTACCTAATAATCATATGATGAATAAATCACACGTTAATTATTAATGCTTGTTCTTGTATTCGTAGAATAGATGTGTGTAGTGCTTTCTATGGTCAGTGTAGAAATGCAGATGGTTTCACAATTGTACTGCTGTATGGCATGTGTAATCGTTTTTTTTAATTGATACCAAATGCTTGATGGGCATGTCCAACACTGCCACAGACTCACATACTCCCCCCCCACCCATCTACTCAACCGCTTCCTCGTAAATCTCACAAACTTCACAAACCTACTCACCCACTCACCCCATCTTTGTGGTTGATGCTGCCCACTCACAGGTGTCGGCTATGAAGTGTGGGCTGCTGCCCATCTCACAGGAGTCCATGATACTGGGAGAGGTGACATACCACGACTATGAGGGCATTCTCGTCGATGACGAGGAGAAGGCCAACCTGCAGAAGAACCTTGGCCCGACCAGCAAGGTAGGTAGCGATGGGGGCGACGCCTGCAACGCCGCCGTGACGCTGGAACCCGTGGCCTGCGATGTGTGGCCTTGCTGAAACATATATTTTGACTTTTGATTTAAAGCTTTCTTGACTGCAGGGATTCATATTCTTGGTTCTTCCGGTAAGTCAAGTAGAAGGGAAACAATAAAATAATACAAATATAAAACAATATTTTATTGTTTCCTTTCTACGTGACTTTACCGAAAGAACCAAGAATATATATTTTGACGATACGATGACTCTCGTGATATAACATTCCCATAGCTCAGTGTAACCGGCCCAGGTGTCTCGGCAGTAGAGCGAGCGGCTCACAATCAGGTTCCGAGTTCAAATCGTGGTTGGGGGTTAACGCAGCCCAGCATCCCTCTAGCATCAATAAAATTCTTGTCACTTGGTGGGGAAGTAAACAGTGGTTGTCTTGTGGAGAGACAGTACCATACCGTAAGAAATTTGAATTTCCATGACTTTATTGTGGCTGTAAACAGAAGATGAGCACCTGAACGGCCATTTGAGCAGAAACTCACCGACTTTGTCACTGTTTTGCAGTTGTATTATTATTGTGCTTTGCTGTACTTCCAGCACGAATAAAGATTACTTGTAAAAACGAATAATTTTTTTATTTTACCAGTTAAGGCCCACTGAGCTTAGTTATTAAACTTTACAGTCTGTATTGCTTATAATGCAAGTGCTGTCAGTTACAAAGGAAATAGTCAAACGGACTTCTGCAATAGTATAGGCAACGAAGTAGGGATGCAGGAACACAAGCATGTTTCATGCATAATGCAGCAATTTATAATGATTAACTATTGTGTTCAAAAAGATTTTGTAAAAAAACAAGATTAAAATGTAAACAAATTTTCACCAACAATGAAATTATATTTTGATAAACAGACAATACCACCTTACATTGTGCGATGTGTCATGGTATCACTGTATCGCGGTGCGCGGTGACCCGACAGACGATCGGCCCAGTGTTGGGCCATAGGGAGTCTGCACGGCCGTGAGGACTTTGCAGCGATGAAACATGTGTGTGAGTGGGTACCATCTGCGTGTAATACCCGATCGACTTGTAGCCGTGGAGTGATGAACCCCTGCTTCCTGGTCGTAGGTGCTGATCCTGAGGAACCATGGGTTGGTGGCACTGGGGGAAACGGTGGAGGAGGCTTTTCACTACCTATACAACCTCGTGATGGCCTGCGAGGTCCAGGTGAGTGTGCCAAATACGCAAGGCCGGGGCCAGGTTTGTGAGACCCCCACCGAGTGCGCGAGCGTGCCGGGCCTATGGCCGGTGTTGCATCTGGACACGCTGTGGCCCCACGCAGCCAATGCGTGCCCCCACCAAGACTCAGCGGTTCACTCCCCCATGCCCCCCACCCCCTTTTCCTCCGACAGGTGCGCACGCTTGCTAGTGCCGGAAGTGTCGACAACGTGATCCTGCTCGATGAGGAGAAGCTGCGGGTGCGTACGCAAGGGATCGTCACTCATGGCAACGTGAACATGGCTGGTTTACACACGTGGGGCGTCGGGGAGCAGGAGCTGGAGGCATTGATGCGCATGATGGACAGCATGGTGAGTCCTGGGGGCGAGGGCAAGCGGAGCGGACGAAGCAACAGTGGATGACCTAAAGTAGATCCTAGAGAACAAATAATCCCACAATGAAATCCACTACCAACATTTTATAATGTTACTCATATAATTAAGGCCCCTTGGTATTAGGTGCAGTCTCCAACTCTTATGCACTCTATCCCTGGCTTCTGTCTTTTTTTGAGGAAGAAGGGCCATTGGCTGATGCGCCATTGCCCGATATGTTTCCATGGTGTCAATTGATGCATATCAAACATGTAATGACACTCATCCATAACTTAGATTTCTACTGCACTTAAAACTGAAACATACATGTGTGCCGATGTGTGTCCTCTTCATAAGCGGAATTGTTTTCTGTATGAGATGGAGTTCGCAGTGCGGATCAAAATGTACAATTGATCGTGCGGATTTGTTTACATAGTACATAGGGGACAGAACGTCTGGGCTGATATGGCGCTGTGTGTCCGCTTGTGTATGTGTGCGCATGTGCAGGGCTACCGTACAGGTTACGCGTATAGAAATCCCGTAATGAGGGAGCGCCCGCGCCAGCGCGGCGAGGTGGAAATCCCAGCCACCTCGTTTGGGCTCGATGATGACTCTATGGTGCACTCGCCGCTCAAGTTGCTGGCCGCGCGTCAGCAGCGCGACAAGACTCGCTGGCTGAACTCGCCCAATGCCTACATGCGCGTGGAGGTCACGCAGGACCAGCGCAACGGAGCGGGCGCCCCCAAGACTAAGGTGTGGGCGCCCAACACACACCGAACCCCCGCGCTGGCGTCCTCCCTCTCCTCCGGTGTCTGCGTGCCCAGCTGTATCACAAACTGCTTGGTCTGTTCCTCTCTACAACTTGTTACACTTTGCTTGTGCTACTAGTGCTTCTGCTGATGCTGGTCCGTCTTGGTGGTGTCACTGTGAGCTTGGCCGCTGGTAGAGTGGAGGCACGGGGTGAAGGGACGGGCTCCATGTCTGAGAGGTAGTTTACATTGCTTGGTGTGTGCTCATCCATAATATAAGCGCCGCCTTGGCTGCCAGTGCCAATTGTTTTCGGCAAATTAGCGCTGTCACATTGTGTCCTGTCCGTAATCCTGGAGCTAACCCATGCCCTACACCTAATCTTAACCATAGCCCTAACCCAAACACTCACATGATCCCCATATTCTAACCTGAGCTCTAACCCAAGCCAGCGATAGCCCTCTTGGTCCCCCCCCCCACAGCCTCGAGTGAGGTGAGTTTTTGCTCCCGTGTCCAATGCCCTCGTTAGTAACGAGAACATATGTTAATGTTTATGACGGTTTGTGCCCTCGCCACTGCTGAATGGAACTTTTTTAAACTTGACCCAACTCATCGGGATGACCCTCGCCCCACCGTACGATGCCATCGGATCGGGGTAGCGGCTCGGCCTTGCCTTCTCTCCACCGGTGGTGCCGTGAATACGCCGCTTGGCTTTGCCGTCTTGTGACCCCGAGAGTGACTGCAAGTGAGGGCTATTTGCCAGCTGCTTGCCCGCACGCTCATCTTGCCCTCCGTGCACCCTCGGGTATATTTTTGTTTCATTGTTTCAGTTTCTTTTTAATGAGTGCATTGTAAAGCTTGCATGTCATAATTTCTCTATTAAGATACTGTGGTCTCGTATTTCGATTCTGGTTTAGATGTGGGGGCTTCGGGCATGTACAGCGAGCCCTCGTGAGAAGGCAAATCGAAGATCCTGCATCTTTGGTCAATCTTTGTGTTTCACTTCTGTGTTTTTATGTTTTTTTTCTGTTATGTTTACATTATGTTCCGTTTACCCTTGCTCGTGCCCAAGTGTGCGTGGTCGTGGTGGTGTCCTGCATGTGGGGGGGAGGTTCCGTGTTCCCACCCGTGCAGGCAACTCCCCTCCCACTCTCTTCCTCTGTGCTCTCCGTCCATCTCTACTTCCTCTTTCCCTCCCTCTTCCCAACATCTTTCTCCTGTCACTGCCTCTTGCTCTCTCTCCTGCTATCGCCACCTTTCTCTCTCCCCCTCTCACTACTTTCACTTTCTCTTTCTTACACCCTCTCCTCTGGCTACTTGTGCTTCACTCTTCCTGTTGCCTCTCCCCCCTCGTGCCCTCACATGGGGCTGGGGCCCCTCTAGGCTTGCAGTGCTTGAATAGGCAAAGGCTCTTACTGCACTATTTTATTCACATGGCCTGGCTGGCCTGGCTGACCCACTTGTCAGAAAAAAATCAGGCAGAGATAACCACCGCACGGGCCCCGAGCACGTGGCCAGGAGGACAACGCGGGGTGGCGAGGGCAGGGCCTGCACGCGTGGGCGGGGCCGAGGGGGGGGGCGGGGTTGCATGGCGGCCGTGTTGCCCCCCGCCCCTTCCCCGCATGGGTGTCGCTGTGCTCGTTATTACCGTCGGTGCAGTTCGCCGATGTCCGATGATGCGTTGCTGTGCCGCGTGTTCTAACGCGCGCCGTGTTTTGCAGGTGCTCGAAGCCGTTTAAGTAGTGGGGACGTCGTCTCGGGGCGCTGTAATGCGCGCTCAGCGGCACGATAGGCGTTGTGCCTCTGACCGGACACTGCGAGCCCAAGCTTTATTCAGTATTCACATAAAATGCAGCATGACAATCATAATATCTATACCACTTCAGTTTTTTTTTTATTATCTTTCATTTATGTGCATGCTTGCTAAAAGCAACGATGGCTCGAGATTGTAATCCTGTAATAGCTTCCTTCTCGCCTGTTGCTTCGTATTTTGAAATTATCGAAATAATTGGCAAGTCATCACCAGACGGAGTCGGACCTCATGGCTGCTGGTGGAGCGAGGTTTAGGTTCGTCCCGTGCAGAGTTGGCCGGTCAGCACGAGGCACGCAGGATGCACGGCGGTGGGGCCCACGCGCCCTTTGGCACGCACGGCACGCTGTTTTGTGTGCGCAGTAATGCTCACCTCAGCCGCCCCCCTGGCTGCCGCACAGTGGCTCAAGGCGGAAGATCCACCCAAGGGCGCTGGGGGGGGCGGTGCCCCCCTCAAGGTTGAAGACAGCAACATGTTTGTGCCTCTTGGCACCGACCCACGGGAGGTGCTGGAGACACGCAACAAGGTATGCCATCTCTGTCACGTAAACACGGACGTGTGCCTGTGTGCGTATGCCAGTGTACCTGCGTGCATATACGCAGGTGATACATTTACTAGTCATTTTGGTAAGTGTAACCCATAGCCGAGTGACATCACCACTAAGTGGTGAATGGTGGTGGTTGTTGTATGCTTGTTTGTGGTTTAGTGTGCGAGTGTGTACGACAGTCAGTGAATATTCCAGCAGTCCTGCACACGTGCAACTCGTGACATCTTTGTTTGCAAAGCCAGTTTGGGTGAAGCGTTGTCCTTCTGTTTTTCCCACACCCAACATTGAACATCCCCCCCACCCCACGCCGGTGCGCGTGTGTACAGATCCGTGAGCACTACCGGCACGACGTGAAGACAGCGGGGCCACAGTCCCAGCTCCTGTGTGGTGCCGTCATCGAGCGACCCCAGGGCCAGGTCAGGCGCTGGCTTGCGGTTTCCTGAACGCGTGATGCCACGTTCACGCTGCTCGTGTGTGATCGCGATGGGGAGGGGGGGGGTTGTTGCTGATGGTGCTTTGTTGCGTGCAGGAGGTGCTGGCGGCATCGAAGGCCATCATCGTTAAGGAGTTTCAAACTGACGTGAAGCTGACGGCGCCGCCAAACCCCTTCCGCAAGTCGTGCGAGCGCGAGATCGAGGAGTACCGGCGGGAGGTGGAAAGCAAGCAGCAACCTGGCGGCGCAGGTGGGAAACCCATCATCTCCACTGCTGTGGCCACTCGGTTATTTAGGCACACGGATAACAAAAGCATGTAAAGGTGCATGCTGAGAATGACACTGAGACTCTTTGCAATGCCTCGATCAGAAAAAAAACACGTTAGACACATGGTAATCGCCGTTAAAAAAGAGTGTGCCGGGCAGGATACACCGTGAGCAAGAATGGTAGCAAAAGTGAATGACGGAGTGACAGCCAAATGAGGGAAACGCCTCTCGAAAGGACGTACTTCACAGATGGAGTGATCAAATCAGTTCCCGTGTAGGAGCTGGATGGATTTTTACGTCACGGGATTGTGAGGGGGATGGCTTGGGGAGATCCTTATCCAGCAGTGGATTATAGCCGATAATAAGTAAATAAAGCCTTGCATATCTGGCGTTCTAACTGTGTGACAGTCACGTGTAAAAGCATTTGTTAAATAAATAGCCGATGATGGCAGGAACTGATGCATCACTTGTTGGCCCCGTGTGACGCTTCGCCTGGCAGACTTGAACGAGAGGCACGAGGAGCAAGTCGAGGAGAAGGCCCCAGCGCCACCGGCCACGCCTCCCAAGCAGGCCGACGGTACCACACGCACGCCCACACGCGGCCTCACGCCTTGCTACCGCGCACACCTTTGTACTGCACACCCTCAATCCAACAAATACCCAACGCATACCCCGACATGTATCTGACACGCGTGTACACGGCTTGCCTGTGACATGCAAAATTCCCGCTCGTCACTGACCATTCTCAAAAGTGCACAATTTAATTGCAGACAACGCAATTGATAGGGACGGTTGTGATGTGTTGCGCCAGTGATACGTGAAGCTCTTTGTTTGCTGTGTTGTTTCATCACCAGGGCCCCCAGATTGTGTCATTGCCACTGATGGAAAAAAATGTCGATTGCGAATTTCCAAAAAATCTGGGGCCCCACACATACTCCTGAGTCGTCATTATTGTTGTTTGAACGTTGCTGGTTCAAGATGTATGTTATTCAACACCTCAGAATCGGTGTGCACCTTACTAAAGCATGTGTGTATACTTGTGACGGTGGTGGCATGCTTGTGATGGCGGTGATGTGAGCGTACTCAAACTGACCTCTGATGTGCCCCCCCATGCTTGTCTTGTCTCCCTCCAACCGCCATCCTTTTGCTTGCATTGCTACTCGCACTCAGGAGCACAGCCCAGTAGGGAGTTCTTGTTGGAGTAGTAAGTATGGCGCGTGCCACTTGTTACTCTCAAAAGGTGTGTCTCGTTCATTGGCTAATCCACGGCCAGAGGAGGGCAAAGCAACCCTCCACTCTCCTTTTACCTGGGGCCCCCCATGGTGAAGCGAGATGTGACAATGGCACCGTCGCCGAATATAATCCACGTGTCGTCCCCCCCCCCCCCCCCCCCCCGTGCGTGGATTGGCCACGGGCCCTCCCTCGCAGAGCAGTGCCCTGGCACACGCCACAGGGGGGTTCGTGCGATGGTGGTGCGGTGGTGGTTACTCAAATGAAGGCCGAGCAGAAATTTTACTTGAAATTTACATTCCTGTGTGATCTTGGCATATCCAACCCAGGTTTCCTTGAAACCATTTTACATTTCCCAACAAAATCCGGCAAGAGGTGTGATCAAACTGTTTTGAGAACAAAATGCAAAGGAGCATTTACCTGGGATCTCCGGGTATAAATATATTGTGATAACAAGACTGTGATTGAATTGTAAAATGCGCGTTGACGGTAACGTCACGTTCTCAAAACTCTCCCGATTGCCCCTTGTGCCAGAGGCTCGAGGCATTCGAACAGAGATGGTAACTGCGTGCGCTGCCCATGCAGGTCAAGACAAACCTTCCGAGGCGTGGGAGCCCAGCGCTGCCCAGGCCCCTGGAGACTCCCAGCCCCAGCTCCAGCCCCAGCTCCATCCCAAGCCTCACACCCTGCCAAAGCCACAGCCAGCTCACAGCGACACCCAGGCGCACTCCCTCACACTGCCCTCGGCGGCCACGCCGCCTGCTGCCCAGCACGATGAGGGCACCGACGAGGAGGCGCTGTCGAAACGCTTGAGCAGCGTTTCGGTCGAGGGGGGTGGCGCCTCCAGCCCTGGCGAGGAGGCCTCCCCTGAGGCCTCCCCGGCCAAATCGCCCTCCAAGAAGAAGAAGAAATTCCGCACACCCTCCTTTCTTGCCAAGATGAACAAGAAGAAGGAGAAGGCTGAGGCCTGAGGTGGGAGTGTGTCGGCCTGTGAGGGAGGCGATGCTCACGGGGCTCATGCCCCACGGTCGGGCGCCGCCTCCCAGGGGGGAAGCATCATCGCATCGTACTGCGCTTCTTTTAAAACTGCAGTTCGCGACAACGCTCACGTTAACTCATGTTTTTGTACTGTACCTAGAGAAACTCATTGTTATGCTTACGTTTTACTTAATCCTGATAACTGGCAATTTTTAAGCTGTGACAAAAACATTAGGTATTTATAGCGAAAGGCAGTCAGTGTTAGAGCCTTGAGTAGTGTGTAGTGACGTGTAGCTGTGCGTCTGTGTAGTGTGGTTGCGCTTTCGTGGTTTTAACTCTGCTGCTTAGCAGCGCTCGGTCTGGTGGGGCAGCTCCAGAGCCACAAGACCCCTCGTCCGCATGGAATGGCGACGGTGAGAGGGATCCGGTGCTGTCCCCCTGTGCCAGCCTTCTCGGCCGGTGCGGTAATGAGTGGCCAGTGCATGGAGGCGCCCCGAGCAGGCCAAATTAAACAACTCAATTCTGCAGCCCCTGTCGTAGTAGCCTGAAAGAAGCCATCTCATGTCAAGTTATTTTTGCTTTTTATTCTCTTTAAGTTGAAATTTGTATTACTATCTAGGATAGATGAATTTTTAATAATATTAAACAAAATGCTGCTTATTTAGCGACGCGTAACATTGCTGCAAAATCCGTTTTACGACTATTAACATCGAGACTGGCCATTCATAGCTTAACCTCAGCTGGGGTGTGAATTTAATGACCAGGAGAGTGTTCACGTTGACCACTAGGATTTCTGTGCAGTGTAGAGCAGCGAGGGGGGCAGCAATGGCTGCTGTGGCAGCGGAGCGTAGGGTGGAGTTTGTTGCGTTCTGAGCCGAAAAAAAGCATTTGCCCCCTCGTTGGATTTGCCACTTAGTACAGCACAGCTGTGCTCGTACTTGTGTAGTAACAGAGTTGTCGATAGACAGGCTTGTGTTGTCACCCGTCTGTACAGCCCTGTCATGTGCACAGGTTATAACCAGCGCTGCAGTGCAAAATACTGCTTCTCTGAAAAATTATGCAGCAGTTCTAACCTCATCCCTAATATCAACCCTATCCTGTTTGTGTGTATGGTTTACACCACAGTCATTAGCATACCCGCGTTGCGATTGCCTGACACTATATTCTGAAGGGCGTTTTTTTCTTTCACGAGGACATCGTGTGTGTACAGCTGCACTTGACCCTGAAGGCGTCTCGCGACCCGGTGGCAGAGAAACGCTGGCAAATGCGGCGCTGTGAAGTCGTGCTGCCGTGGAATTGCTCCTGAAGGGGCAATCTTCTCCGTCCATGGGAACAGCAATCCCATTGGACCGGATCCCACAGTTCCAGGGATTCTTAGGGTTACAGTCCCACAATGGTCATGTGACTCAAGGACCACCGGTATGCCTGGTAGAAGGCCCAAGTACCTGGTAGAAGGCCCAAGTACCTGGAGGAGTCCTGCCTTTGGCCACACGCAGCTCTCGGTATACTCAAATATGCATTTCGTTGAGACTGGAATGGCTTTTAAACCTGGTTTTAATTAAGAGTGGAATAAACATGTGTGTTTTAGAATATCCAAGTTGTCAGCACAGGCTGTCTCTTCGCTCAGTCTAGGACTGACCAGTACATTCATCTCCATAGCACTAATGCCATTTTTTCATTACGTAGCTCATTGATAGTACATATAAAAGCAAGTATTAACTTGTAACAGCTTATACTTGTATGAAATAAACAAAATAAAATGTACTGCATGTATGGTAATCGCTACTGAGCTCGGTGCCAGTCGTGCTCACTTATGGAGGAGTATTTACTGAATCTGCCGCTCTGACAGGATGCCATCTCAAGAGGCGCCACGGTATCGTTACATAAAAAAAGTTACTGCACTTATAATTCAACTGTAGCAAAGGCACGACACAACACTGCCGTGGGCCAGGACTACCAGCTGCAGCCCCTCCGTCCTGCTCCATTTACTACTTGGATTCTGTTTTTTTTTTAAAGGCTTCGGATCATGTTGCGGTACAGCTGCGTCACCACAGGAGTGTGTGCTGTGGCAGATGTGGGTGGTAGCGTCTTCAGTTGGATTTCTTGGCAGAAGGGCGCAGGCCACACAGCAGCAGCACAGGGAGGAGAAAGAGGAACGCTCCGGTGGTGAAGCACACACGTGCGCCCGTGCCCCAGAAAGCTGCAAACACGCGCACAGCCACACACGAGAAGCTAGAACTGGAAAACGGCATTACGGGCACCACACACCGCCCCATGACGCAGATCACTGTGTTGTCGCCGCCGCACGCCATCTCTGACTGTCGGTAGCCATGTGTGGAATGCGGAGCACGTTGGACAGCGAAGTGTGATCGTGTGCAAGTCTCACCCGAGGCAGCAAGTACAGGGCCCAGAGCTCTGGCGAGGGAGCCCAGGCTGCGCAGGATGCCCATGAGCACCCCCTTCTGGCTGGGAGAACCTGCACACGCACAGCAGTCAAACGCAAAACCACTCGTCCCTGTGTGTCACGTGGCAGAGCAGGCGTGGCACGGTGCGTCTCGTCTGTGCGTGTGTTCGGCTCACCGTAGGAGGCAACAGCAGTGGTGAGGCAGGGCACAACAGTGGCCGAGGCTGGAAGACGGCACACACGGGGAGATGATACACACCACACAGTGAGACTTGGGAGACATGCATGAGAGCTCCAATCCTGGGTAGAACAGTTTGTAGGTGCACTTGGGGGTGGGGTCCTGGAAGTGGTGGTGCAATTCACCATGGCGATTTGGTGAATTGTTGCAATTGAGGGTCGTGATTTGATTCTATATTTTTTTTTACATCAAGGTAACGGGAGTAGCTGCAGGCCATGTGCACCCATTATACCACACGCACACACATCTATAAACATGGATTATTGCACGATTCCATGAATGTATCGTGAGCTTAAGCCAGGAGTTGGCAACCTGCGGCTCCGGAACCGCATGTGGCTCTTTACGGACTGCTTCAGAACATAATGTATGTGTGTACGTATGTACATATTCACATGCATTGCGGCTCTTCAAATACTGAGTTTTGTACTGAATTTGAAAAAAGTTGCTGCTCTTGTTATTTTGGTTGCCGACCCCTGGCTTAAGTGATATGAATGATCAGGTTCCTCGCGTCTGATAATGGTGCAATTGTAATGCTGAGTATATCATTGTAAGGGTGGGACACGGACTGGCGTACACAGCTGTGCGGTCTCACCAAATGCATAGAGCAGCAGCCCGACGTAGAGCACGGGCAGCGTGGGGGCCCAGCCAATCAGGATGAATGCCGGGATGAGCAGCAGCAGCGCCTGAAGCGGATGGGGAGGAGCGTTAAAAAAAAGCAGTTGGCGAGTGACGTGACATGGGAACATGCGTGCAGTTGCATAAATACTCACCCTCTGAACTACGGCCATCTCTCTCCCTGGGGAAAGTCTCCGCACGTATCCTCCCTGGATGATCACCATGGCAACTCCAACCGCAAACAGCATCTTGCCCTGCTGCATGCTGGGAGAAAACAACCCACCGGCTGCTCTGGCCTGCTGGGCAGTGAAGGGTGATGGATGTGCGTGTGTTTGGCTAGTCCATTTTAAGTAGGCACTAGGCCATTGAGACTACAATACAATCGCAACATTGGAGATTAAATGTGAAGTCATTGTAAGGAAAATGAAGCCAACTGCGGGAAATTAAAAGGTAATAAACGGTACACTGAGATAGAAACAGGTGCGAGTGCGGGAGGTCGTATGGCCGTGGGTGAGTGTCGGTACCGTGTGAAGTTGAAGCGTGTGTGCGTCAGGAAGCCGAGATTATACTCGAGCCCTGAGTACAGGAAGATATACAGGAAGTAGATGACCCCAAGCCTCCGCAGCGACACCACATCTGGAAATAATCGGCACCACGTGAGTTCATTATGAGCAATTTAAATGATTAATGCTGGCAAAAATCCGCATGGAACGTTCGGCGAAATTTAGAACTGCCATGATCTGTGAGTCCAATGAGAGACAGAGAAAGGGCTTTGGAAGGGGGGGGGGCGGACATTGTGCCAACGGAGGCCGCGTCTTACCTTTATGGGGGGCTTCTCTGCCGGTCTCCTGCACGGCCGAGAAGCGGAAGAGAGCGACGGGGTTGAAGAGATGAGAGCTGCCCTTGATCCCCGACAGCACAGATGGGACCTAGGGGTCACGGGCAGGAGCGGGCTAAGAATGTCTCGGCATACGCACACGATGTTCTCAAGATATTGTTTATTCTATATAACTTCATATAACCCAGGTTGCCTTTGCTAAATTATGATTCAACTTGGTTGCCCAGAAAAGCCTCGGTCTTGACTTATTTTTCAGACGGTCATGTTTTTGCAGTAGGGACAATGATTTATTTGATTTCCAATTAATTAATTAGATATTTTTGTTTGTTTATTGGGAGCATGCCACCTGCACAGTGGTCGATTTTAAAGAGAGGCAATGTGCTTTAACGGGTTAATTTTATCTGGTTAAATAAAGAAGACTGACGAAATGAGATGCTCGGTGAGGGAAGCGAGTTGGGATGGATGAGAGTGGCTAAAGCCTGTGACTGCCGACTGCTTCATAAGCCACTTTGTAAGGCTATCATTTGTCGCCAGGATCCTTCTTTGCCTGGTAGGATGGGGATGGTTTAGTTTTGTGTGTTTTTGGGCGATTTGTTTGCCTTTTCCTGTACGACTCGTATTTTTCTATTGTAACGTTCTTAGCGGCCCCTACTGGACATCTATGAAAAAAGCTTTATAGCTCATCAGATTCCTCCAGTATAAATACATATTCTGATTCGTCACCCCACCACCAACCGATTAATGCCCATATCACTCGCGGGCGCCGCCTTGCAGGGATCAAACAAGTACTCCCCCTACTGACTCAATCGCCATGATTGAACTCGAGCACATTATTTTACGACCTGTTTTTTTACATTTTCATTGTATTCCTTTTTTATATAAATGTGTACCGTTTTGTTTGCTACATTTGCCTAAATGTAACGCTGCTTCACACCATCGCCATTCCTTACAGTCCTCTGATGCCATAATTGATGTAACTCCTTCAAGTGAACTTATATCCTTTTAGGCACATTCCATCACCAGTCTTGTCCATCAGCACTCATCTTTTCTAGAGGTGTTTCCTGCCTAAACCCAATCGTTCCTGAAGTCAACAAGATATGTATAAAATGCATCTTGTTCCACGTGTTCCTTTTGCTGTCGCTCATCATTTTGATCAATCTACCTTCAATATTTGCTTTTGACATACTATTCAGCTAATTTATTTTCTTTCTACGTCACTTACCGAAAGAACCAAAGAGTAATTTCTGCAGTCACGAAAGCTTCAAATCAAGTTTTTATTCAGCTGTGTCTTGCAGTTATGTCCCTCCGGCAATATTCCTTCAGCACATTTGTTCTGCATTAATTGTTTTTGCTAATATATATTTTCAGTAAAAGTTTTGCAGCTGAGTCATGACAGCCATTTAATACATTTTCTTTGAGGGTTTTCAATCTATTCTTTAATATCAATACATTATCCTAACTCACGAACTACATTTTTGATAACTGTTTTGTTTTTGTCTGTAATTATCATCGTCTCCTCTCTGACTTAACCTGACATTTGACTTGCATCTCACCAGCCTGTGACCACTTCCTGTGTTTACATTTATGAGGACAGAGACACATCTGACAAACTGGGGGTTGTCTGTGAGAAGCCAATTTCATGTCTAATTTCACCATTTAGGATTCTCCATGTCCATTTTTTTGCCTACTTATTTTTCAGAGGTCTTAATTTGCATATCAGTTACACAAGTGGTAAATAATTGAGTGTAAGAATGCATTTTGACCAATGCATCGATGCATGGTTACATGCCTAATGCCTTCACAGTTGGCTAAATTGCCTTTTCTAGGACTTGGGTGCCGGATGCGACCATTCTGGGCATAGGACTGCCTAGTCCTATATTCTTGCAATGCTTCCCTCCTGCAGCATTGCCACTGGTGGACAGATTGTGACCGGGAAGGATCTCCTTTCTCCATCGTCCCTTCCTCTCTCCAAACCTCCCATCGTTCCTGCTCCCTACCACTTACCCTCCGAGCGGGCGGCAGGGTTTCGGGCAGGAGCAGCGCCAGGAAGACAATGTCACTGGCGGCGAAGGCGGCAGCGAGCAGCGCCGGCATAAAGAAAAGGGCACCGTGGCTGCCTGTACCAGCCAACGCAGCCCCCAGCGGCGGCCCGAACATGAAGCCAATAGAGAAGGCAGCGCCCACGAAAGCCTGCGGACACGTAAACACACGCACATGGGTACCAAGAGGGGCTCCTGCACTGTCCTCCAATGGCCTGCCCTGCCCGGCTGCCCTTTGTTACCATTCCCTTGCTGCGCTTGTGCAGGGGCAGGTCAGCAATGATAGCCGTGCTCAAGCTGATGTTGGCCTTGCTGGCACCGCCCAGGGCACGCGACACCAGGAAGAGGCCGAAGCTGTGAGACACGGCCCAGATGCCGTAAGATGCCAAGATTCCCACCTGTACGTATACACACACAACAGCCGCCAATCGTCACTCAGTGACGGTGATGTCGACAGTGCTTGTGCCAGGCTAGATACACTTTGAGATAATGTGAAGTTTTGAAGTCGTAGATGCACACACACCCACACGTGTACGCACGGGCATACTTGAACACTCCAATGCCTATGGTTAGTTAAAAATTAACCAGAATATATCCAATCGCATGGCAGGAGCCTGGGAATTTAAAATTGTATCTCTGTGCATAGCACAAGTTACATTTCATAATAATAGCTGTTTTAATCAGGAAATTCTCAATGAGAGAACTCCTTTTTAGGAGGATGATGCTATTTTGGTTTGTTTGGCCAATCGACTACTGCTGGGCAAGGTTTATCAGTACATGTCAAAGTGTTAACGCAACAAAGCAGACTCCCGGCTAAATCATGCCAGCCTATCTTTAAAATCTTTTGGCAAATACTTCTGAATGTTTACTCATCGCGCTGAGCAACATTAATTGTGTTTGAGACAGCACCATGGAGAGCAGCATCATGGAACGCCGCCCATAGCGGTCGGAGGCTGCTCCAAACAGGGGGCTCGACACGAACTGCAGCAGTGAGAAGAGGGACCCAATTAACCCTGGCGACACAAACGAGCACAGTCAGGTGGTGCTAGTGTGGTCATGCCAAATACAGAGGGCAAATGTGGAATCGTAGAGATGGCTTACGGCCGTGAACGTGGGCGTCTGCGCACTCACCGCCGAACAGTACGCTGTTGTGGCGTTCATGCTCAGGAATCCCAACAGTATCGGCAAACCAGTCAACTCCTTCCTGCAGCATCTGGTGCAACCCTCCCTGGCGCGACGCAACCCACAGGTAGAGTGAGGGCACGGGCTGGGCGAGGGTACAGTATTGCAAGTGCCAAAAGGTGCAAAAGGGGCAGGGCATGCGCACCTGTCGGTTGAAAGGGTTAAATGTGTGGTGGGCGCGGTTACCTGCTCTACGCTCCCGTAGTGGTCGAGCAGGGAGGGCAGCAGGGGCAGGATGAGCGTGAAGCCCAGAAGGTCGATAATGAGGGCCACAAATACCACGGTGATAACCCGGTCAGCCCAGCGATCCTCAACGTTCCCCTTCATCCTGACCGGCGGGTACACGCACAGACAGCAACGAGGACGGCTCTCTCCCCCTCCTCGCCCGCCAATGTCAATAAATATCACTGGCGCATGGAACCAATGTACCCCCTTGTCAACCAGCTCAAGTCCCCTCGAATGTTACAATCACTGACGCTCGCTAATGCCATGCCAGCGAGTGCGGGCTCGCCTCCCCGAACCGGCACCAAGGGCTCTCTCGGAGTCGAGGCGCGGCAGAGCAAACACATCGGACTTGACGAGTCACGCCCGTGCCTGGACCCAGGGCGGCCTCTGTGCAAACACATTTCCTGGTTGCTTCACGCCGTTCTAAACTAAAAAAAAATATTTTTATTTGACCAGGTAAAGTCCACTGAGCTGTATAGCTCTTTTTCAGAAGTGACCTGGCCACAAATTATAGCTCAACGAAGTGGCTTATCATGTGGAACTTTATAGCAGCCAGATACTCGAAACGCGTGTTGACTCTAAACGTGTGATATTGATTCCAAACGTGTGATATTGATTCTAAACGTGTGATATTGATTATAAACCTGTGATAATGATTCTAAACGTGTGATGATTCTAAACGTGGAGGAAAACAAATCGGAGGACGCGGAGATACAAAATCCACACGACCACGGGGAGAGAGGGAGAGACACGCAGACTCCAAATATACAGCAGCAGGCGTCAGGGGCGGGATCGAACCCACAACCTCCTGTATACCAGGCAAGGTAGTTAACATCTCCTAGCCACCGTTGGCTTAATTAACCTTTGCTCTACGGTAAATGTGTTGTTCTGTCGAACACTGCCTCGCGCAGCGGTCAAGAGAGGAGACTGAACGCTCGGCCACATGGATCCCACGCGAGCGGAAACCGGTGACGGGGTAGCAGAGGTGGACCTGGGGTAGCAGCGTGGACCTGGGGTAGCAGAGTGGACCTGGGGTAGCAGAGTGGACCTGGGGTAGCAGAGGGGGACCTGGGGTAGCAGCGTGGACCTGAGGTAGCAGCGTGGACCTGGGGTAGCAGCGTGGACCTGGGGTAGCAGAGGTGGACCTGGGGTAGCAGAGTGGACCTGGGGTAGCAGAGTGGACCTGGGGTAGCAGCGTGGACCTGGGGTAGCAGAGTGGACCTGGGGTAGCAGAGGGGGACCTGGGGTAGCAGAGGGGGACCTGGGGTAGCAGAGGGGGACCTGGGGTAGCAGAGGTGGACCTGGGGTAGCAGAGGTGGACCTGGGGTAGCAGAGGTGGACCTGGGGTAGCAGAGTGGAGCTGGGGTAGCTCAAGCCCCTCACCTCAACACAATCCATAAGCCCATTCAAATTCCTCAACCCTCACCTCACCCCAAACCACCCTCACCTCAACTCCCTCACCTCACTCAGCCCGATCGCCTCACCTCAAGCCTTGTGGCGACTCCAAGTCTCGGTCCGGGCAGTTGGCGGCGGGGAGGCCGTGAGCGGGGCGGCCGGGATGGGAGTCCCCTCCGCGCCGGGTCTCTTATCCTCCCGTCTCTGCCGCGGGTCGGCGCGCGCTACCCCGACCCCGGCTCTTATCGCAACGCCGGGGTCGGCAGGCTCCGGGGGAGCGGGTGGGGGTGCTGCTGCTGCTGCTGCCGCCGCCTTGATGTGTGGCGATCACGGCGGTGACGGATGTAACGACAGTGGTGAGGAGAGACTCACGCCGCCGCCGCCGCCGCACGTGTGAAGTCCCAGTGACAAATATTCGACGCGGAAGTTCCCTGCTTGGGTGAAACTCTGGAACCGCGAGCGCGAACAGGCGACCTCCCGGCCCTGGCGGGTCACCAGGGTCCCGAGCCCCGCACAATCACCGAGGCAATTACAACTCGCAGCCAACCAGTGGCTCACAACAAAGCCGCCAATTACCTGGGATTGCCGGCGTGACGCGACTTTGCGACTTGCCGACGGCTTCTCTCGAGCGCCGCCTCGCACTGATCCAGAGCCCCGCGTCCAGATGCACCCTCCCCACCCCCCACGGGCCGATCCCCGCACCTCGCACCCCGCACCCCCTCCCCTCACTCCCCGCACCCCCTCCCCTCACTCCGCACCCTCTTCACCCCCTCCCCCCACCCCCTCTCCGCACCCCCTCCCCTCTTCACCCGCACCCCCTCCCCTCTTCACCCGCACCCCCTCCCCTCTTCTCCCCGCATGTGGCACGGCCCCCGCTGCTGGCCGCGGTTTTCGGCCGGCGTTGTTGGGTGTTGACGTCACCTCCCCCCCCCGCAGCGGTTTTAAAAATCTGGTTGTGTGACGTCATATCTCCGCGTTGTTTTTTTGACGCGTCACGGCTCGTTCTTTATTTGCATGACGTCATCTGTTCCGAGCCGTGACTGCGCACGAGTTGCGCTCTGGTCGGCGCGCCGACTCGTTCGGGTCAATGTGTGAATCGTTCCGGTCAATGTGTGAATCGTTCGGGTCAATGTGTGAATCGTTCCGGTCAATGTGTGAATCGCTCGCGAGTGGGCAGACGACGACGCCGCCGCCGCCCCAGGGGTCCCGCGTCGCTGTGGCTGCCGAGGCGAACGCTCGGGTACGAGGGACCCCGTCCACGGACGCAGCGGCGGGCGGTGGTGGGAGAGTTGGTGAGAGAGTTGGTGGGAGAGTTTGTGAGAGAGTTGGTGGGAGAGTTGGTGGGAGAGTTTGTGAGAGAGTTAGTGGGAGAGTTGGTGAGAGAGTTGGTGGGAGAGTTTGTGGGAGAGTTGGTGAGAGGGTTTGTGAGAGAGTTGGTGAGAGAGTTGGTAGGAGGGTTGGTGGGAGAGTTTGTGAGAGAGTTGGTGAGAGAGTTGGTGGGAGAGTTGGTGAGAGAGTTGGTGAGAGAGTTTGTGAGAGCGTTGGTGGGAGAGTTGGTGGGAGAGTTTGTGAGAGAGTTGGTGAGAGAGTTGGTGGGAGAGTTGGTGAGAGAGTTGGTGAGAGAGTTTGTGAGAGAGTTGGTGAGAGCGTTGGTGAGAGAGTTTGTGAGAGAGTTGGTGGGAGGGTTGGTGAGAGAGTTGGTGGGAGAGTTGGTGAGAGAGTTGGTGAGAGAGTTGGTGGGAGAGTTGGTGAGAGAGTTGGTGAGAGAGTTTGTGAGAGAGTTGGTGAGAGAGTTGGTGAGAGAGTTTGTGAGAGAGTTGGTGGGAGAGTTGGTGAGAGAGTTGGTGGGAGAGTTTGTGGGAGAGTTGGTGGGAGAGTTGGTGAGAGATTTTGTGAGAGAGTTGGTGAGAGAGTTGGTGGGAGAGTTGGTGGGAGAGTTTGTGAGAGAGTTGGTGGAAGAGTTGGTGGGAGAGTTAGTGGGAGGGTTGGTGGGAGAGTTGGTGAGAGAGTTTGTGGGAGAGTTGGTGGGAGAGTTTGTGAGAGGGTTGGTGAGAGAGTTGGTGGGAGAGTTGGTGAGAGAGTTGGTGAGAGAGTTTGTGAGAGAGTTGGTGAGAGCGTTGGTGAGAGAGTTTGTGAGAGAGTTGGTGGGAGGGTTGGTGAGAGAGTTGGTGGGAGAGTTGGTGAGAGAGTTGGTGAGAGAGTTGGTGGGAGAGTTGGTGAGAGGGTTGGTGAGAGAGTTTGTGAGAGAGTTGGTGAGAGTGTTGGTGAGAGAGTTTGTGAGAGAGTTGGTGGGAGAGTTGGTGAGAGAGTTGGTGGGAGAGTTTGTGGGAGAGTTGGTGGGAGAGTTGGTGAGAGAGTTTGTGAGAGAGTTGGTGAGAGAGTTGGTGGGAGAGTTGGTGGGAGAGTTTGTGAGAGAGTTGGTGGGAGAGTTGGTGGGAGAGTTGGTGGGAGAGTTGGTGGGAGAGTTGGTGAGAGAGTTTGTGGGAGAGTTTGTGGGAGAGTTTTGTCTCCGCGCGTCTCCCGTCCTGCCGCGCTGCGAGTGGTGGGGCCGTGGTGAGCGCGCGTTCGTTTTTACCGCTCATGGCCAACGTAAGTAGCGGATATCAAAACCAGGCCGTGGGCCATCCCCTAGCTCGGTTTGGTCATTGTGGAGACAAAGTCGGCTGAGCGTGACGCTGGCCACAGCGCTCCACGGTGCGCCCTCCCGACCTCGCCAACATCACTTGTCTATCACTTGTCTAACAGTTGTCTATCACTTGTCTAACACCTGTCTAACAGTCTGTCAAAGGAGATAACAGGGGGGGTGGGAATCTTTGACTTTGACAGTGCGGGTGATACACGGCACATCACGCGGGGGTGCAGCGAGCATCCCCGATCCGAGGCCCGCGGGACTGAGGGGCTTCCCCGGGGCCCCCCTCCTTGCTCATGGAGCTCGGCTGCGCCTCCTCCCGAGGGCTCCACGCCAGATTCCTGCGGGGCGAGGCGCCGCGCCCGGAGCTGGGCGCCCTCGCCCTGGCCGCGCTGCTGGGAGGCGCCCTGGGTTTTGGGGCCGCGCTGCTCGGGCTCCGCCTGCGGCCCCGCGCCCCCGAGGTCCGGGCAGGAGAGGGGGCCCGGGGTCAGGGCCCGCGTCCCAGAGATGAGAGGCCGCAATTAACCCCGTCCGTGACCCGCACCCAGGTACGAGCGGTCTCCACAAACCCCTCCCTCCCAGGTGATTTGTCTCCAGGCCACTTGGACGCCTGGCTGGTATTTGTATGTTCTCCCCCTGGGCTGCGTGATGTTCTCCCCCTGTTCCATACCATGTAATTGTTATTATTTACAGCTGCTCGGCTTCACATTGAAGTTAGTTTAAAAAGTCCAGGTGCTATAATTACAATAACAAGCTTAATTCTTCCCAGTTTAATGTACATCAGTATTTTCCCAAATAATGCATATACTGTACTGTATATAGAATTCACAGGTGCAATAAAGCCTGTGAAAACATGGCAGCTGCTTGGCATCACCTTATAGTTTGACTAATCTTGGTCATGTGGATGAGAATATCAAATGAATGACAAACTTTAAACCGAACTTACCAAGGGATTCCAGTGCGGGGTTGATCCTCTGACCATGCCCTCTGACCCACACTCTCCTGACCATGCCCTCTGACTCACACTCCCCTGACCATGCCCTCTGATCCACACTCCTCTGACTATGCCCTCTGACCCACACTCCCCTGACCATGCTCTTTGATCAACACTCCCCTGATCATGCCCTCTGATCCACACTCCTCTGACAATGCCCTCTGACCCACACTCCCCTGACCATGCCCTCTGACCCACTCCCCTGATCATGCCCTCTGACTCACACTCCTCTGACCATGCCCTCTGACCCACACTCCCCTGACCATGCCCTCTGACCCACACTCCTCTGACTATGCCCTCTGACCCACACTCCTCTGACCATGCCTTCTGACCCACACTCCTGACCATGCCCTCTGACCCACACTCCTCTGACCATGCCCTCTGACTCACACTCCCCTGACCATGCCCTCTGACCCGCACCCCCCTGACCATGCCCTCTGACCCACACTCCCCTGACCATGCCCTCTGACCCACACTCTCCTGATCATGCCCTCTGACTCACACTCCTCTGACCATGCCCTCTGACCCACACTCCTCTGACCATGCCCTCTGACCCACACTCCTCTGACCATGCCCTCTGACCCACACTCCCCTGACCATGCCCTCTGACCCACACTCTTCTGACCATGCCCTCTGACCCACACTCCCCTGACCATGCCCTCTGACCCACACTCCCCTGACCGTGCCCTCTGACCCACACTGTCCTAATCTTGCCCGCTGTTTCACACTGGCCCAGCGATGACCTCTGAGCCACTCCATCTTCCCTGCCCTCACCGCAGGATGCTGTGGCTGCCTTTGCGCTGAAGGCACAGGTCGTGTACCCCATCAACCAGAGGTATCAGGTAGGTACCTCGCTCAGTTGAACACGTGGTAGGCTTTCCCGACCAATATCATTCATAATGGAGGTTTTTGTGGGTTGGATCGCGTAAATATAAGTGTCGTTAAAACCCGCCAACACCCGACAGCCAACTAGTAAGGGTTGTCACGTCAACAGAACGTGCCAATTCGTCACTAGTACAGCACACCAGTGTGTTGGAGAGGCAAGCCACAACATTTACAAATTGAGTATGACGTTTCACCAGTAATTACAACTAGCTTCATCAGGCGACAGCCAGATTTGTGGCGAAGCCTTACTGTTTCGTTCCTTATATAGAGGCGTAGATGTGTTGACCACCCTTCTTCGCTCTTGCACAATGTGGGGGGGGGGGGGGGAAATTACTGAGGCATCGTACATTATGCATGTGCATTATGCAAGCCCTATGAACTTATATTTACGAGATGTTCAGAGTTTTTGATGAACGAAGAGGTCCTACCATGTAGGGCTGTATTTGTTTCAGATGTTTGGAAAAACAAAACATCCGAGTCAGATTTGGCAAGGTACATAATAATACAGAATTTAATATCTGGTACAAAAGATGTATTACCGAAGCTATCGACAGAAGATGTGTACAGGATTAACTGCACGTGTGGTAAATGTTATGTTGGGCAAACAGGACGAATGATCAGCACGAGACTAAAAGAACATTAGAGAAATATTAAATTCTCCCAAATGCAACTGTCAGCAGTAGCAGAACACGCGTGCCAAAAAGGACACTATTGATTTTGATCATGTTGAAGTTTTGTGCAAAACTAGCTACTACTGGCCAAGACTAATTATAGAATCTATCGAAATTGAAAGAAATCAAATTAACTTTAACCATTCGGATAGCTACCATCTTAATGCTGCGTGGAAGCGAATCATCAAATAATGCATTATTTTAATGCATGTGTAGTGGCTTTATTGACGTCGGAGACTGTTCATTGGAGGCAACACGTATTTATTACAGACGCTTCAATTACAGTGGCGAATCTGATACTTAAAGAGGTAACGGCCTCTTCACCCGTACTCTATAGAGGGAACGTTCCCCAAGCTTTAGCCCACGCTAGCTTCGTGGTTCCCTCTATCCTGGTCCTCCCTCTGGAGGCTATCTGACCTGCCCCAGCTTCGGCGCAGGTCCCGATCACCAGCCCCACGAGTCCGGCCCTCAGAAGGACATCGGCCCTCTCGGCTCTGGTGTCGCACCCTCGCTTGCTTTGCCCGGCCCTCAAAAGGACAGTGGGCCAAAGGAGTTCCAGGGTCTGGCTAGTCGATCTTCTTTCTTCACTGGCTCTTCATCTTGCTTGAGTCGAACTGCCTCTCAGCTCTCCGGGTCCCACCTTTTATACTGTCCCTCACTGAGGGGTGGGGCTAGGAGGAATCACAGCATCCCCCACAGCCCCCCAGGGTGGTGGCTGTAGTGGACGTGTTTGTGGCCACCGCCCTACAATTGCGTGTCACCCTCCCGTAACACCTCTACACGTGTAGTGAGTCCAACTGAGTCGCAGACGTTAACTTGGGAGCAACACTATTTATTGTACATCAACACGTAACATAACACGGACTCCACTCAGGTCTCGAATGCTTATCTAACCACGCTACGGCAGAACTAGACACGGTTCGCTATCCTGGTTCGGACCACAAGCTGGGTCCCGGACCGCGTGGCTCGAGGCTTCTTCTGCCCGACGTGGATCTTCTAACACCAACACATGAAGAACCCTGAGCTCTTCACGGAGCCCTCATTATATGCTCCCGGGCTGGGGCTGGCTCCGCCCTTAGCCCCGCCCACCTTCCAGATCTCTCGAGCTCCTTCTCGAAGGATCCCGACAGCTCCTTTGGACCACGTGACCGCCCGACAGCACCCATCCACCGGTGGCCCCCCTCCAGTATCGTCTGGTCACGTGACGGCAGGTCAACCAGAGTATCATGCCCCAAGGTAACCCTGGCTGGCTGACGCTACCTTTCGCTCCCTCACCGGGAGCCTGCACCGTACACTGCTCGTGGTGCCTCCGTGCTAACCAGCGCTCACCCAACCACCGCTATTGTTGGTACTGCATCCCGTAACCCGGGCTGCCCGTAATGACAACACATTCGCAAGCCCCGGCACCATACAGTGACAAGCACAGTCACTACACATGTGGAGTGACGTAAATGGAGTCACTAGGGTGTTCGCGCCAGCTACTGTTACAGTAGTGTAGCTGTGCGTCTAGAGCCTCTCTTGCACCAGAGTAAAATACTGCATGTCAGCCAGCCCTAGGGGGCATAGTCCTGGTGATGGCCTGAGAGAGGGCAAGTGAGGACGTGGTAGCCTGAGTGGAGCACGTAATGCTCGGTTGAGATCCTTTCGGGAGAGGTCTCGAAGGGGGCGTGGCCGAGGGCGGAGCGAGGCCACGTTCAGGAGCATCAAGGGGCAGTCCCGAGAGTATTCTGGGTTTGTCTGTGGAATCACGCCTGGGTCCCGCGTCTCATCGTCTCCGGGTCTTCGTCTCCATTTAACTCGCTACTCGCACAGTGAGCCACATCACCTACTATAGAACCCGAGTTACGTTCAGTGTTACCCGCTAGGGAAGGTGTTAAAGAAAAGTGTTGCCTCCCAGTCCAGAGTGTGTGCCTCCTTGTTGAACACTACACATGCCTACAAAGGGCAGCGTACTTCAATAGGGATTACCTTTGGTAAGGCTATTTTAATAAACAATTGACAGGAAGGACAAGTTCAAAGAGCTCGCATAATGCACATGCATAATGTACGTTGCCTCAGTAATCCCCCCCCCCCCTCACATTGTGCAAGAGCGAAGAAGGGTGGTCAACACATCTACACCTCTATATAAGGAGCGAAACAGTAAGACTTCACAAATCTGGCTGTTGCCTGATGAAGCTAGTTGTAATTACTGGCAAGACGTCGTACTCTGTTTGTAAATGTTGTGGCTTGGCTCTTCAACACACTGGTGTGCTGTACTAGTGACGAATTGGCACGTTCTGTTTACATGACAACCCTTACTAGTTGGCTGTGTCGGGTGGTGGCGGGTTTCAACGACACATTTATATATTTACGCGATCTAACCCAAAAAACCTTTATTATAGGAGGTACCTCACTGTCACCACCGCTACCACCGTCTCACTTATACACACACTGTACATAGCTGATAAAGCACTCCATTGCACGGTCACTTTCTATGGTCACTGTACATACATGTGCTTCTCGTGACTGTTTTGCTGGTTTGACAGTGATTGAGAGATTTCTCAACGCTTTCCCTGTGCTGTTTCATGTGCCGTCTCTCTCCAATACTGCTGCCTTGAGAAAATAGCCACTGATCAATGCCAACTGTGGCCCTTTAACCCGCGACATTGGGCAAGGGGTGGGGAGCGGGCGACTCAAGGCCCGGGCTGAACATGTGGGAGGGTGCACGGAGCGGTCCAGTGAGCAAGAGGAGAAAGAGCTGGAGGCTTTACCTGGTTCTGTCGCATGGGGAAGACATGGTGGTGCTGAGAGGGAGCTCCAGAGTGCCACAAGAAGTAGAGACACGAAGAGAGAGTTGGAGATTGAGCCAGACACGGAGGATGTTGGGGTGGCCAGGAGAGGGGCAGCTGTGGGGGCAGCAAGGAGGAGACAGGGCCTGCCTGGGTGTTTGGCTGAGGTTCTTGTCTTGGAAAGGTGAGGAGGTCTCCCTCCCTTAAAGCATGTTCATTGTTTGTGCTGTGCTGCCCATAATCTCTTAAAAGTGAATTAGAATGTGACTGTGGGCATCCTGAATATGTTCACACCCTGCTTGTACTGGTGACACTGTGCCTTGCCCCCTCTTGTCCTGAACCCCACTGCCCTTGCTCCACTCCCTGTGCCCCAATCCACGTGCCTCTCACCTTGTGCCCTTGGTTCCAGTGAGGAGCGGCTGCATGCTGCATTTTCTTCCTTGGTGCAGCAGTCATGCAGCAGTCTGCAGGCCAACCTTCACCGACAGCGGTGTGTGGTGAGCCGTGCCTCCACTCATCCCCTCGCTGCGTCTTCACTCAGCCTCGTGCTTTAACAACGATGTGTGGAATTCACATATAAAATATTATTATGACATGTTTAACCAGGACAGCCTCTCCAAGGCTCAATACTTGTTTACCTGCTTGGTTTCTGCAGTAGGGGTCAACGATTCCTATGCATTTTTTATCATAATAATTGAGTATTTTTTCTGAATTTGGCAAATTTGGACCATGACACCAGTACAAATTATGTCGCAGGATCTTTACAATCCAATATGAAACAGCGCATCATATTTTATGATTAATATACCCCGAGTATTAACCAAGGCTGCCAGCTGAAATTGAACTGCGAGCCTCTGTAACAAACGGCAAACTAGATCCCACTGGGCCATGTTACCACCCCAATACCAGCACTTAATGTATTTCTTTCGCACCTTACGTAGCCAACCGTGCTAATAGGTGTGGGGAAGGACAACAAACTAAACACAAAAAGCATTTCTAAAGATAATATATTGACAACAGAGCCAGGCTGATGAATGAGTAACGCGTGCCTTTGCTGCGTGTGATGACAGCTGCTGGAGATGCTGCTGAAGGAGCTGTGTGGTAGCAATGGAGAACAGAGGATGAATAGACCACACAATGAGGTAAGAGACCTCGCTCTACTATAGTCCGTGGACTCCCTGCCATATGGGGCACATGGACAGCCATCTTGTTGCCTTCTTTCCTCACAGGAGTTGGGCACGCCGGATCAACAAGAAGGCCGGCTGGGAAATGGGGACCTGGATGATGGGTTCCCGGAGGAATTTGGAGAATTCCCAAGCAACAGTGACCCCAGCTCATCCTGGATCAATTGTAAAACCCAGCTTACGGTGAGCATGCTGTATTTCTATCAGATTAATTGTCTAGGGTGAATTGCGGTACTTCATGACAAAGTCAAAGTGATTTCCTGCTCAGATGAGCATTGATGCGGTGTTGTTCTATTTTTTACGACCCTGAGCCAGTGGTGGAAGTTCCACATTCTTTTGGCAGGGGTGTCTTTCCATATGACATCCACTGTTGATTTTCCCAAAAAGTGGTACTCGTGTTATCGACCTTGGAGGGATGATGATGGGCGGAATAAACCCCCACCAACACAACCAGGAGTTAAACTCAGGAGCTTCCGATTGCAAGCGGCTTGCTCGACCGCTGAGCCACTCAGCCGAATACATCAAGATATATAAATATACATTACTTGAATAATGAGCCAAGAATGTCTGTGCGTAACGCACGTGACGTCACTCCGTGTCGACCAGCACCCTGCATTAATAATAAACAGGTGGGGTCCTCTACATGCCCCCCCCCCGTCATTAATAATCATCAACGGGTGACGTCACTCTTCATGAAGAAGATTGAGCAGAAACGAAAATGTGTTAGCTTTCATTTTGACGTTTCTTGATGGAAAGGAAAGCTCATGGAGAAATCAACGCAGCAACTAATATAATAAGCCAAAAAAGGCTGTGTGTGTGTCCCGCGCGGGACGTCACTCCGCATGCGCCCCACTCCCCCCCCCCTCATTATTATTTACGTGTGCCTGGATTTTTTGACTAACGCAGAAGAAGGTCGAGCGGCTATAATATATTTTTTACGCAAATTCGCTTTCGATTTTACATATCTTTATATAAAGTGAAGGCAGTAAATAATTCTATGCCGCATCGCAGTGCATTTGGTGTCTTTATTTATTTCTTCGGCACGTTCAACAAAAGGCAAGTCGACTTTACGCTTCCAAATTATGCTACAATAAACATTTGTCTGCTACTTTTCAGACATTGTATCGAATTCCAATTCTTTTCAACCCCAGCGAGCGAAAGCGAAATATAAGTATTAGAGCAGTGAATTGCAGGTAATTGAACGTCCGTTAAATACAGTGCTACTGTGACAGTACGTCAGGTGTCTGATGACTTTGTTGCGTGCAGCAACCACTGCCATTAATGCAGTGCTGCGGTCAAATGCTGCGAGGTGTTTTATGACTTCCTTTTGTGCAACATTCACTGCCATTAATACAGTGCTACAGTGAAATGCAGTGAAGTGTTTTATGACATTATTTTTTTTAATATTTCCTGCCATTACATTTAGACAAGATAAAATTATACTCTGATTAATTTATTCGTAACTCTAATGCTTCTCTTTGGTCTTCGTTATTTGCTAAGTTACTTCAGACAGTATCAGCACTCTAGTTTCTTCACTTTTCGCTATCAAGCGTCCATCGGTAAAGATACATTTGTCAGTTAACAGCTTCGAGTTATTTGAAAACAGTGCTTAAGTGAAGTTACTGGCTTTTTCAAATTATACTGCCACAGAGATTGTTGTTTGCCTTTGCAACCGAGGCGAAATCGTCTTCATCCCAAGACTCGACCTAGCTCCAAGTGATGTCACTCTTACTTTTGTACTGAAATGACAAATTCCGATAATTCCTGCGTATGCGAAGACGATCAACAAGTTGCAGGGTCAGACTTTTTAGGATGTGGGTATTTATCTCAATGAACACGTATTTTCCCATGGCCAGTTGTACGTGGCTCTGTCTAGATCTAAATATCCTCAGCGGATCAAAGTGTTCATCAAGGATAGCCAACTGCAGGGACACCTTTTGAACAGTGATAAGAGATTCAAACTAAATATCGTATACCGAGAAATCTTCCAAAGTCCTTAATTTCATTTAATAAGTTAAGAAAAATGTCTTTGTGCCACATTTCCTAATAAAATTAACAATCACCCAATAAAACGTTAATTTACATCTTTAATATTACAGCTTCCGTCCTAGGACGGGCTAACAAGTAATACAATATTTGAATAACATTTTCAACTTAACAAATCTAGACCAAATTTTGATTTAAAGCTTTCGTGACTGCAGTAATTCATATTCTTAGTATTATTTTGTTGTTTCCCTTCAACGTGACTTTACCGAAAGAACTAAGAATATAAATCTAGACCAAATTTACCAATCATAACTGAACCGTGAATGAGTCTTAAAATTGCAAGTATACAAGAAATATATAATCTTGATTCAGGAAAGTGACTGGATTAGGCAAATAGAGACAATGCAGATATTGAAAAGGAGTCCACACAATTCGGCCTGGTAAGGGAACTTCATTGTTGCAGCAACACAACTCACACTCCACACTGGGGGGAAGTTCTCCCCAGCCAAGCCCCGTGCTCACGTTGCACCCCATTTGTATTTCTCGTTCCTTCTGGACCTTTCAGAAGGTTCTCTCATTCCCCTTTCCACAGCCCCTTTTGGTTGGTCTCTTTCTCTGCCGTCTAACTGGCCCCTCTGCCTCGTTTCTCTTTCCCTCCAATTCTCTCTCCCTAGTCCTCAACCAATCCGCATGTTCCTCCCCCCTGGTCGTGCCCACAGCGGTCGTTTATTGATGAATTGCTGATGGTGTCCTTGCACGATCCTTTTATCTAAATGGCTTCGGGCAGCCACACAGAATTTAAAAACACACACGGTCTAATCACAACATTTACACAGGTTTTGTCAAGCGTCTTCATCAATTTTTCCTCAAACTCAACTGTGATTGGAATTGAATTAAGACGCCGTCTTCTACTTGTGTGGCCATTGCCCCCTCAAGTCACAATGCTTCTGCTGGGTGCTCGTCTGTTCGTTCCTCACAAGAGCAGCATACTCATCCGTGTGTACAGGCATTAGCACACACTTCACGTGGCGTGCACTGTCCACTTGCAAGTGTGCACATACCTGGCCCGTTGTCTTTATGCAAGGGTGCAGATTCCTGCCCCATTGTTTTGGTACAGGGTTGAACATACCTGTCCCATTGTTATTGTACTGGTGTGCATATATCAATCCCATTTCCCCTTTTTTCAGGTGTGCAGATACCTGTCCTCTGTGGATGCGTACCTGCTGCGGCTGCAGGATGAAGTGAGGTCAGCGGAGAGAGAGGCAGAGTGGTCTCCGGGGACCCCGGGAGGAGGGCTTCTCGACAAGATGGACTGGGCCCCAGGGGCTCTAATCCAGGGATTGCTGTTGGGCGAGCGCGAGCTGGCAAAGGAGGCAGCCAAGCGAGCAGCTGTGAGCAGCAGCAGCGCACCACACGAGGGAGGCCAGGCTGGGTCGTCGGGCACCAGCAGCGTTCACAGCAGCTCCCAGCAGGGATTCTAGGGATTCCTCGTGGTCAGAGATTTGTTTCCGATGTGTTTTTTCCGGACTTGCCTGCGACTCAGTTGTTGCTGAACGCTTGGTTCACTGCTGCTCTGCTGTGCGTGCTCGAGTCGCTGTTTTGTGTTTTTGCGCCATTGATTTCGTGTGTAGTTTTGTTCGCTTTTCCTTCCCCTCCGTCTCTTCCTCAATGATTTTACATTATGTATTCTGTATTTCCTGTGTATTTCTAAATCTCTTTGAGATGCTATTGCATATAAGCGATTCGGGTGCCATTGTATGTAGAGTTTGTATGAGTTTGTATGTGTGGGATTCCTCCAAGTTTTCTGGTGTTATCCCATGACTAAACATACAATGTAACTAGTATTGGCCAAACATCCCAATACAGAACCCTCCTGAAAAATAATCTTTGGACTCAAGGTGGCTTTCCTGGGTCAATAAGTATTGATTATTGTCGTACAAGGCTTTTGTAAAACATGACTTTGCTGCATACGCAGCTCTCGCGGCGACTCGCGTGAGCCGGGTACGTCCGTATGTGCACGTGCGTGTAGATGCTGGACGAGCGCATGCTGGCCTGGGAGCGTGCCGTGCGTGCCCGCGTTTCCACGCTGGAGTCGAGGCAGCGTGTACTCGAGGCTGCGAGGAGGAGTGCAAGATTGATCTTGCAAGCGCCGGACCTGAAGGAGGAGCACGGATGCCGCAGGGCCGACGAGGCCGTGCGCGCTTTCCAGTGTGGACTCCTCGGCCTGCAGGACGAGTTTAACCGCCGTACGTTCCCTCCCCGTCCCGCGTCTCCCAAGGCCTGGTGGTAACCGATGCTCCACTCGTTTAACATTCGCCCTTCCTATCCCTCTCTCTCCCCCCACACTGTGCGTGACATCTCGAAGGCTGGGAGGAGGAGAGCACCGCGCTCTTGATTCGGCTCGCGGATTGTAGACAGAAGCGCCTGGGAGCTCGGCCAGGTTTGGGGAGAGCACGCGACAGGATTGTGAAGAGGCCGTCCCATGCTGTCCGGCCTCCACTCCACAGAAGCTCCATCCCAGCACTGGTGCAGGTGAGCAGAGAGGGCTGGGAGGGGTGAGTTGTCAAGGGTGAGTCGTCAGGGATTTTGAGTGAGGACTTTAACTACTGACCGCAGGTGCTTGGAATGATGCGTCTTTCATTTTACAGCAGTGGAAGGAGGAGATGAGTGAAGAGGTAACGGCGTGTGGCAGCACAGATAATGAGGTTGATGTTGAGGAGGTGTTCGCCATTTCCCAGCTGTATGAGGTGAGGGTCAATCCCACCACGCAGCCTCCTCGCTCCCACTCTACGTTGCACACTCACCGAGACCACGCCAGGAAGCTTTGGCAGAGGTAGCGTCACAGTCCGGTCTTTGTGTTGCCAGTCCCTGCAGGGCACGCTGCTTCGAGCCCTGGACCTGCAGATGGAGGAGATGCTGGGCCCGAGTGGCCTTGGCACTGACGGGGCTCGGGCCTTGCTGTGCCGCTTGCGGGAGGAGCTGCGAGAGACGCGCATTGGCACGGAGCAATGGCGCCGAGCCCAGGAGGAGCACGAGGAGCTCTTGGCAGCCAGGAAGGTGCTTCCGGCGTGTGCTTCAGTGACGGTCACCCCCAGTGTGCCAGGTTCCTTACATGACAAAGATGCCCTAAACGGGTAACGATGTGCCTGCGTCCACAGGAGCGCGAGGAGGGCGCCCATCTGGTGATGCTGGGGCAACAGCGGCTGCAGGAACGCGAGACAAGGATCCTGAGCGGCATTTTGCGGGAGGTTCCTGGCCTGGCTCCAGGGTGAGTGTCGGGCACAGCGCCGCAATGCGGGGGTCTTCTTTGCAGGCTGTCGCAATGAACGGCCTCGCTGTGCGTGTCCATCCCACAGGGCCGTGCACCGCGCACAGTTTCAAAGTGAGCTGTGGGTGTCGCTTTGGAGCGGTGCCATGTGGGTCCCCCCGCCGCTTCGCCAGGCCCCCAGACTCTGCTCTGGGCTCTGCCCTGCTATCGTGGGCTCCGAACCGGGGGGCCTGCAAGGACCCCGCATCGACGCGATGCAAAGAAAATGGCGGCAGGACGTGGTTCTGTGCGGACACACGGTGGAGGTGGCTCGGGCCGCTCGCGAGGATCTGAGGCAGAGAACCCGGACCCTGCTGGAGCAGCTGCTAGCACGAGGGGACATCACTGCGGGACCCCTCCTTGTTAACTAACAATACCCAGATAATATACATCTTCAGTGATGCAGTGGTGCAGTCTTGTTCAGTGGTGCTCTGGGTTCTGTTTTTTTACTCGTTATTGTGCATATTAAAATGTGTCCATTTTGCTTGAATTCACCTTCGCAAGTGATCAGAGTTTATTTTACCAGGTAAGAACTTGAGCCGTCATGGGCTCACCTGATCTGGGTGGCCATACAAGTAAAATAGAACATAAACAAGATGTATAAAATTTTGATTTAAAGCTTTCGTGACTGCAGTAATTCATATTATTAGCTCTTTCGGTAAAGTCACGTTGAAGGGAAACGTCGTGAGAATTTTTATTGTTTTATATATATTTTATTACTTTATTGTTTCCCTTCAACGTGACTTTACCGAAAGAGCTAAGAATAAGATGTATTAAGTTTGATGCTGTGCATTGGCTGCCGGGAGACGAACCTTGATGGGCATAAGACGCATGCTGTGTTACCCGAGTCCAAAAGGACAGCGTCGTGGGAGAGCCTGGTTGTGGAATCAGTGGGAGGTTCTGGTTGTCACATGGTGTGCATGTCTCGTGGTGCAGTAGAGCTTGTTGACTGATGTCGTTTACAAAGAAAGGCCGTTCCGTTTCCAGTGTTCAATCTGCAGGAGCGACGAGGGCGTCGTCGCTCACGGAGCAGCGCTACACGTGATCTACGCGTGACGGCACACATCCCTGGGAACCGTCAATCACGGCACCTACCAAGGAAGCCAGGACAAGGAACCACAGCTATAAAAGACTTTATTGAGGTGCAGCAGTGTGGGGCACGGAGGGCACGAGTGCTTTGGGCAAGGGGCAGGGTCTAGGCCCGAGGGCTCGCCGGCAGCGCAGGGCGCGCAACGCTTTCACGCGGCGCCCCGCGGCAGCACCTGGGCTGGATGGCCGCCCCTCGGGCGATATCGCCAGCTAAGAAGTCAAGAGTGGCGGTGAGCGTCTCAGGCACGTGGGGGGACAGTTGCGAGATGGAGTAACTTTGTTCAGACTGCATGCACTGGCATGTAGCCTCATGCTCTTAACAAAAAAATCTTTATTGTACTTAAACGCAACATCTCCTGCAGCCCTGCGCTACATCTTAAGTGGCCAGAGGAATGAGCAGCTTTTGTAAACGAGGGCTGATCCGTGCTGCCGGACCCTATTGGACTGAAAGGGACAGGATCCCCACAGTGAATTTACGTACGCAGACTTCGTGAGTCTTATCAATCGCCTACCACTGAGACAGCCTCTCCGTAGTGCGCAAAACACTCCATGTCCCAGAGTACCGCAGCCTGCAGCCAGTGTCGCTGTGCACGTAGTGGGGGAGTAGATGGGACCTGTCCCCAGCCCCCTTATCCGCACTGCCCACTTTGTTCCGAGTCTCAGACCCTGCCCCCGAGCACCGTGCCCAGCGTGCCGACGCGTCCCGACCCCGGGACCACTCATTTCAGGAACTAAACAGCAAATTCAATTTACGAGCAGGCGGCATAACGAACCCTACCAAAGAGAGCGTTGGGGACATTGGTGGTGGGGGGGGGGGGGGGTATACTGATGGAGAGAGAGCACCAGAATTGCCATGTAACGCACATTCACCAAATTCACATACACAACAACATGCACCACGCCACGTACAGGCTACCCTAGCCTTAATCTGCAACTCGTTACACGAACATTACCACACTGGCCGCTTACTTGCGCATGGCAATACAACAGATGTGACGGTAAAAATCATAACACTATAGTGAGGACATCAGTCACCGACGGCTACGGCGCTCTGGCCGCTGGCACCAGCGGCGCTGTCCTTGGTCCAGAGCAGATCCTGGTATCACTCGAGGTGGCAAAACATTAGATGTACAGATTAATCATATGGCCAATAAAAGTACGTACGTTTATCACATTTCCAATAGTTGCCCTAAATGTATTGAATAAACCTTGAAAATTTCATTTTGCCTTCTCGTGGTACTGACGAGCGAGAGATCTGGTCTGGAGCCGCGGACAAGTGGCAGTGAATTTCCGTGAGACGGCAAGAGCCAGGCCCAGCCGTGTGTGACGGGAGACCGGCACGCAGACCCCAGCCCTCCGCACCGTGCCTCCGTGCCACCCTGCCCCCGCACATGAGCGCGGCAGCAGCGCTGGTCCTGGGGACGCCGAGTGAAGGACGCCGCCACCGCGTCGCATCTCAGGCGTCGGTACCCTCGGACAGGTGTAGAGTTGACGTCTGCCTGCCGGGGGGGGGGGTCCCTCTGGGCTGGGTCCCTCTGGGCTGGGTCCCTCTGGGCTGGGTCCCTCTGGGCTGGGTCCCTCTGGGATGGGTCCCTCTGGGATGGGTCCCTCTGGGCTGGGTCCCTCTGGGCTGGGTCCCTCTGGGCTGGGTCCCACTGGGCTGGGTCCCTCTGGGCTGGGTCCCTCTGGGCTGGGTCCCTCTGGGCTGGGTCCCTCTGGGCTGGGTGTTTCTGGGCTGGGTCCCTCTGGGCTGGGTGGAGCAGTAAGGTGGGGTGCAGTACTGCGGGCTCGGGGCGACCGTGGCAGGGGTTTGTGGATGACGTGCGATGCGAGATGCTTGATCTGACGGGGGTGTGTGGACTGGCTGAGACGTGACGGGGACCGGGGGTGGGGGATCTGCGCAGGGCAGCCAGGGCTGGGCGGCGGGCGCTGAGGGCACGGGGGGAGGGGGCGGGGCTTTTCCCGTGCCGTCGTGGGCGACCCTCGCCCTTATCCCAGGGATGTGATGTTGGAGCGGCCTCCCGGCGGGGCGACAATCCGGTGTCCCGTACGGCGGGGCAGCTCGTCATCCACCTGGGCTCCTGTGCGGCCGATCACAGCTTCTGTTAGCATCGGCACAGCCATTAGCGGGGGCCACAAAACGACAGAAGTAAACAAATCAGCAGCAGCAGCAAAAACAGCGGTGATGTGTGATATGAAAGCGATGATGGGCAGCATGAATGTGTGCCAAGACAGTTTGTGTAGGCATCGTCACAAGGTGCCAGGCACTGGTTGTGATGTTCGTCCACTCATTCCTCTCTCACCTTACCCATGAGTCCAGCGATCAAGGAAAACAACTATCGAACTATTTTTACTAAACTCATTATTTTATCAGGTCAGGCCCACTGAGCTGTATGTAACTTTTTCAGAAGCGACCTGGCCACAAATGATAGCTCAAATAAGTGGCTTACCATGTGGGAATTATAGTAAAATATTCTAGACGGCCTGATGGTGAGATATTCTCAGGGCACATCAAAGAGGTCGTGTGCCTGTTGTGCAGCACCTGCAGGATATGGTGAAAGATATAAAGCGTTTGGCTTTTCTAATGATGTAATCTTGATTGTGACTACCCATGGCGATAGTTGGGCTTTCCGGACCGCGTTGCCCCGTGCTGCTTAGTGCCTTCCCACGTGTGTGTGATGCGCTACCTGAGAGGCTGAAGCCGGACTGGTGCAGGTTGCGCAGTGGCGCAGACTGCGCGGCCGACTTGGCGGGCGAGGTGCGCGCCGACGGGGTCGGGGTGGCCGTGGTGGAGCGGACGGAGGAGCCGCTCAGCTCGAACACGGGGCCGTCGTACAGGCCCCGCGGCACGCCCCGCATCTCGGCCAGCTGGCGTGCGCACACAAACACAAAGATCCCCCGTGTAGCCTTAACAGACTATTGGAACAAGTGCAGCTAGTGAGCATCTATGAAGGCCGGCACAGCACACGAAGGTGGTGGGCGGCCAGCACCACGCACGACCGCATTTGACTCCTCAGTGACGATGATTTTTATACACCGCACCAGGTACTCATTTGAGGCTGAGTCGACCTAGGGGAGGCCCGGGACTGGTTCTGATAATCGTCACTGGTGTTGGCCTTGTGCTGGAATCGAAATGGAGTCGCTGGATTGTAGCGAAGCGCACCGACTGCTACACTACCGCTTGCCACACGCACGCACACAAAACGCATGTGTTCGGGCATCGACCAGGGTTCAGGAGGCTGAGACTCTTGTCTGTACCGAGTCACGTGTACGGAACGGCGGTGCACCTTGTTGCGGGCCTTGATGCGCTTGTAGACTTGCTCGGGGAAGGCCTTGCGTGGAACGAAGCGACCAGCGCCCTGCGTGGCGCTCAGCTTCCCCTCCTCCAGCACGATTCGACCCTGGCTGATGACCACCAGCGGTGCACCCCGCACCTCCATGCCCTCAAAAATGTTGTACTCCACGGCCTGCGGGGACATGGACACGGACGCGGCCATGGGCACCACGAGGCCCTCGCGAGACTCTCATGTGCTCACCGCTCACCATCGCTCGGCGGTCGAACTACAGCGTGCCGGGACCCACCGCAGTGTGCGTCTTGGCCGAGATGGTGGTGATTGTGTCTGGCTCCCAGATGACGAGGTCGGCGTCTGAGCCAACGGCAATACGGCCCTTGCGTGGGTAGAGGCTGAAAATCTTGGCGGCATTGGTGCTTGTCACGGCCACGAACTGGTTCTCGTCCATCTTGCCAGTGGCCTGCGGGTAGGTGAAGAGATTATCACTGTGTGCGTGGCCTCTACGACCCAAAAGGCTGAGGGATTAGAATAAGAAGCCTGTGTGTGTACGTGTGTTTCTCTCACCACTGCCTTGTCCCACACGATGCTCATGCGCTCCTCAATGCCGTTGGTTCCCTCTGGGATGAGTGTGAAGTTGTCCTTCCCAAGAGCTTTCTGCGCGGTGGTGAATGTGCAGTGTGCGCTGCCCGTCACCTGGAGGTCCCCACTGTGGGGGAAGGAAAGGGGCAGGGGTTGTAGGTCACTAATGGACAAGAGATGCACAGGAAGATGGACATTTTCCCGTGATTATTTTGTGTTGTGTATTTTATATATATATTTGTGTTTAACTTGGACCCACATCAAACATAAAGATCTGGCAGTTCGATATTTATATTGCAATAAAGATTGACTGCTGATGAGACTACAAAAGTCGAAACTGGTCCAAAGTTTGCTTGTGTTGAACCAATGTAGCTCAATGTACGCACTCCCAGAGGGCAGTATGGCGAATGGGATTTGTAAACTGTAGATTTTTTTACGTGGAATGGCAGGTGAACAAGGCGAAAGTTATATTTATTTAGTTCATCCCATTGAAGCATTCGTTTTTGGAGCCGCTACATTGCAGTCGGAGTGTGTACGCAACGTGTGTGAGAAGGAGCGCGTGTGCGGCAGCACCAGGACAGCAGAGAGTTGAGGTAGTCGGGCGTGGTGGGGTCAGGGCTCAGAGGCGGAGAGGTGACGAAGGCCGCGGCTTTGGCCCAGTTCTTGCTCCAGTAATGAGATCCGTCGGTGCCCAGACTCGCCGTGATGGGTTCCCCATACACCACCGCGCCTGGCGCGACGCAGCACATGGACGCGGCACGCACGCCACGCTGAGCCCACACAGCCCGTCATCGCACGGACCCCAAGCAGACTGCACACACACGCCCCGTTGACACAGCAGCACGCGCGCTGTGTGCACTGGACTCACCGCGTGCATCACGTGCACACCCAATTAATAACACACGTGCACACCCAATTAATAACACACGTACACACCCAATTAATAACACGTGCACACCCAATTCGTAACACGTGCACACCCAATTCGTAACACACGTGCACACCCAATTCATAACACGTGCACACCCAATTCATAACACACGTGCACGTACACGCGCGCGTACAGCCACCGACACCCGTCCAGTCGGTGTAGGTACCCAGCCGTGCCTCTGCCTCGTCCCCGTGTCCGTTACCCTGACCCCCCTCACCTTTTTTGCGCGCTTGCGAGATGACATCGGCAGCGCTCTTGCTCATGACCTTGGTAATGTAGAGCGGGCAATTGGTGTGGTTGGCGATGGTGATGGCACGGTTCACGGCCTCGGCCTCCACCTGCAAAGGGGGTGAGCGGAGGAGGAGGTCGGTCACCGCGGTCGGGAGGATTGCGCCGTCGGTCTCGCGGCACCGAGGTGGTGGTGACGGCCAGGGCTCACCTCCTCTGGCCGGCTGAGCACGTGACCTTCGGGACCGGCGATTCCCATCTCAAGGATTCGCTTCTGTTCCTGTAAGAGTCCAACACGTGCAGCCCACGGTGAGGCTGCGGCGAGGCTGCGGCGAGGCCACGTCGCTGGGTAAATATGACACAGCTGCTGGCTGGACTGACACGGTCCTGGAGGGCACTCACCTCGGCTATTATGTCGCCATTCTCGGCGTGAACCATGGCGATGGCGCCGATGTCACGGAGGAACGTGAACACCTCGTACATCTACATGCGCGCACAAAGACAAAGACCCCCCCCCCCCGTATCACCTACACAGGTTTTATGGGAAAGTAGCGATGTTTACACATCGCACCAGGTACTCATTTGAGGTTGAGTCGATCTAGGGGAGGCCAAGGACCGGTTCAAATAATCGTCACTGTTGTTGGCCGTGAGCGGGTATCGCTACACTAACGCTCACCCCACGTTCAAAGACAAAGATCCCCCATATAGCCTGAACAGACTGTTGGGGCACGTGCTGTTAGCGAGCACCCCGTACGGGGATCGACTCAGCCCATCATCATGAGTACCACTTTGTGTGGAAGTCAACACTGGGTATCCTATGAATAGACTCGCTGGCCATCAAAGGAATGTGGACTTTTCAAAACTGGCTCAGGGCTGTAAACTGGGTATGAGCACCGCCTAATTTTTATTTGAGTGCCACGGTGGGGAGATGTTAACTACCTCGCCTAGTATATAGGAGGTCGTGGGTTCGATCTCGACCCTGACGCTTCTATATTTAGTGTCTCTCTTCGTGGTCGCGTGGATTTTTCTCTGGGTCCTCCGGTTTTCCCCTCCACATTTAGAATCAACATCACGCGTTTAGAGTATTTGGCTGCTCTCCATTTCCACGTGATAAGCCACTTCGTTGAGCTATCGTTCGTGGCCAGGTTGCTTATATAAAAATATCTGTATGGCTCAGTGGGCCTTTTCTGGTAAAATTAAAATAGTTTAACGCAGAGCAGCCTCACCTCTGTGTCGCTCATCTGGTATTGGTCCTTGTACGCCATGTAGACGAGGAACGAGTTGATACCTGCAGAGACAGTGGTAGCGCTGACGAGGTTCAGTCCCCCGTCAAAGGTGGCACAATAACACAAACCTCCACACACAGCTCCAGTGCAGTGCGAGGAGGCCCCCGTGGTTGCTGGTAATGTGGTCGGGGTGTTGTAGTGGCCATGCTTTTTAGTGTCGTGGCTCGCCAATGGCTGGGCATGGTGGTGGTGGTGTGTCCAGCGAGTGGCCGAGCTTACGCCGACCCCGACCGCACGCACCTCGGTCCTTGACCAGGATCTCCAGCTCTTCGGCGACGCCCTCGTGCCACTGGGGCACGGCCACGTGCAGGGAGTAGTCGCAACAGACCTTGGCGTCTGCCCACTCGCGCCACGCGTCTAGCGCCGCCACGAGCCCCTGGCCCGGCTCTGGGATGGCGTGGTCGACTAGGGGGAGACACAGCGGCGAGTCCTGGCAGCAGTGCGCACTCCACCACCGCGCTGGTCACTCATCCGCATCATCGGTGCCGACGGAAAATCAACAGCGTCGCCGCCTGTTGCTCAATACAGTTGCTTCGTTGGGTTTGAATCAATATCAATTTGGCAACTTCGCGAGTCCCCATTACACATATTGGCCCGGTTTTGTCTGTCCTGACGGTGGAAGGGGGGGGTAAGGGGGGCTTTATGACCCAGCTAACCCCCCCTCAGCCACCCCCCCCCCCTCCCTAAGGCCCACACCCTGGCACGGTGGGGCCCATTACTCCACGTTACTTCAGGTTGGCGCGGACACTTCCATGTCTCCCTGGCCGCATCTACCACGGGAGAACACCGAGCACGCACAACCAGTACACGCGTGTATCTGAATGCGGTGCTTCCCAACCTGTGGTCCCCGGACCACTGGTAGTCCGCAAGGCCCTGGGAAGTGGTCCGTGAAATTATTTGTCTTACACAACTCCACATCTCTGTTGAATGGACGGTGGTCTGTGAAAATTATGTGATGGTTAACAGTGGTCTGCGGGTCCAAAAAGGTAGGGAACAACTGCTCTTGTGTACATCCACACGCACACATGGCACCAACACAGTACTTACACACGTGCACTCTAAGATACGTGTATTATGTATGTCTCGGTATGGCAAGAACGTGGCATGCAGAGAGCGGAGGTGGGAGCGCAAAACTGAGACTGTGTGACAGGTGGGACTTGGCCCCCGTTCAACAGCAGATGGAGCCTAGCTGCGGCGCTCACTGATCATGGTGGTGCCGCCGGCCAGCGCCGCCTTAGTGCCCTGGTAGAAGTCGTCCACGGTGCTGGAGCCCAGGTAGGGCATCTGGAGGTGCGTATGCACATCTATGCCACCCGGGATAACCATGCGGCCCTGCGCGTCGATGGTCTTCACGCCGCCCGGAACGATCAGGTTGTCCCCGATCTGCCTGCGGAGGGTACAGACACAGGGCGCGGTGAGAGACGCTGGCGGGGCGCCTCCCTCTCTCCCTGCCGAGACCCCCCCCCCCCCCGCCACCGCCCCAGCGCCAAGCGTGCGCGTACTTGATGAGGCCGTCCTCCATGTAGATGTCGCCGTGGAAGGACTGGTCATCGTTGACGATGCGACCTCCTTTGATGAGGAGACGCTCGCTCTGCGAATGACACGAGGCACCAGCTCTGTGATCGGTGGGCATCGGCACGAGCACCATTAAAAGGGCACGGTACCTCACACCTGCTGCAGACACGCGGGCTCACCTGCCACCACCTCATCTGTAACACTTCTTCATCCGTAACCTCCTCACCCGTGTACTGTGAAACTATATAGCCTCTTGATCCTGCGAGCCGCTCCCGAGTCAGTGGCGAGACCTCGTCCCCCGCGCTCTGCATTGTTAACGGGAATCATGGCAGGGCCGTGCCCTGAGGGCCGTGTGACATAACAGGCGCTGACCAGCAATGAAATGCACATGGACGCGTCAAGACACGCGACAGGGTACATCGTGTGTGTGAGTCGCTGTACTATGCGCTGTATTCTATCTGTGTTCAATATGCTGTGGTCTGCGTCCTGTGTTCCATGCGCAATTAGTCGCGTGTTGTGGTCTTTGTAATGAGCGCTGGGGTGTGATGTGCGCTGCGTGTCACAGTGTGCGTGTTGGGCACTGTGCTCTGCTCTGAACGCCGGGCTCTGTGCATAACGACGCAAAAGGCCTTTTATCGCCGCCTCGCCATTTATTGCCGCACGCATGTCGCGAGCGTCCCCGGCGCGCAGCGCATCTCAATGCTCTCTGCGTGTTGAAAACGCATCTTATTTTTTTGCAGTGCATGCGTCGCCGGGCCTGCTGCTACTGCTCAAGCAGCTGCTGCTGCAGTGGGCGTGGGTCCGCTGGGCCGGGCGTGTGGGCGCCGCCCTGCATTGTGAGCGGCTGGCAGACGGCCGGTGCATTCAGCACCACGGACAGCGCCGCCGCCGTCTCCTCCATCATCAATAACCGGCGGCGAGGGCAGCAGCAGGCAGCGCCTCGCGGGCAGCAATCCCGGGTGACCCGGCCACTATAACGGGGCCTCAAGGAGGGGGGGGGGGGTGGGGCAGCAAGGATAGGATGCATCCCCGCGCCGGGGTTTGGGAGGGCAAGGGGGACCGGCGCCACGGACGCCATTTGCGTGAGAATGAATGGCGCGGCGGCCGTGGCGCCATCCCGACCCGAATCCGGGCGGGCGACGAAATGGGCTGAACGCGGCGAGAAGTGGCGACTCCGCAAGCGCGCGGCCATTGTTCAGCCCCGGGGCGGCGCGCCTTACCGTGATGCGAGGGATGTTCTTCTTGCCTTGGTAGGACATGGCTGTCGCGGATCCCTCGGCGAGGCGGCTCTGTGCAAGATAATGGAGCTAGAAGCTGCGCTATCGATTCACAAAAGGGACGCGGGTCGCGCCTCACGCTGCTCTAACTGGCTGTTGCTGCTGCTCTCTCTTTTCGTCGCTTCCCGTCCGCGTGTCCACCGCTTAGCGCTGCTGCCCGGACTGCAGGACCGTGGAGGCGGAGAGGGAGGGATGGAGGAGGGATGGATGGTGGGAGGGAGTGACGGGATGGAATGAAGAGCGGAGGCGGGGGGGAATGGTGTCGGATGCGCCGTCTCCCCCCTCGCCTCGCTCAGGCGGGCGCGGCTGATTGGTGCGTGGCTCATCAGCATTCAGAGCGGCTCGGCGCGAACTCGCACCGAGCTTCCCCTGGCCCGTTTCCCCCTCCCTTATTGTGCGCTCATCTCTCCCTCCATTTTCCTCTTCCCCCTTCTCCTGCCCCAATCCCCAACGCCCCCCCCACCCCGACTGCCAGGCCTCCCTCCCCCTGCTCAGATTCGGGCATCGGGAGCCCCCAGCGGCGGGGACCGGCAGCGCCGAGTTGCCGATGTCGCGAGTCACGAACCTGGGCCGCGTGCGAAGGGTTTGGGTCGTTGCTCCAAGACCTCCTGCGCAACGGCGCACCTCACCTTGACCCTTGCAATGATCCTTGCGGCTCCGCGTTCCCGTGTGCCGTATCCCGCATTGCGCACGACTCGTCATGAAGTGTGAGTGTTCGCCCATAGCGGGGACAGGGGTCAGTCGAGGCTGCACCATGGACTTCGCCGAGGCTACGCATACCCACATTTGCGTACACACAGCCCTCTTGTCAATCCACAACTGGACGAGGGCCACCTCACTGGTCTTGAGCCTCCCCTGGGTCAATTTAGCCTTACACTGGGTGCCATGTGCATAGCACTGGAGTGACAAAGACGGCCAGGCGTGATGCAGGCCACACAACCCCTCGTGCTTGCGAACATAACTTACCCCAAGTCTCGCCATACGTGGGATTGGTGACTCTTGTCTCTGGTATTTGTGTCTTTCCAGTGCCGATACACTGCTCCAGATACTCATTCAACGCTGAATTTACTCGTGTAGGCCCAGGACCAGTTCAGATGTCACCACTTATATTCGCCGTGGCTGAACATTGAACTCAAGTGTCCAGGTTCGTAGTAGTGCGCTAACCACTGCGTCACCGCTCCCCACAACACGCACACTAATTCATAATCAGCCATGATCAATCCACTGCTGAATGAAGGCCTCCCTAAGTCAGCGCTACTCCTCCGGTCTTGCAATGCAACAAGCTACCCATGCACCTTGCACATGAACCTCGCACACGCAAACATATACCATGGCCAAGTGTTACAGCAACCACACGGAGCAAAGCGACACACATGGGGTTGCCACTTGTCTGGGGTTGACCTAGACAGTGTAATAATAATAATATCATTGGTGTCTGTTCGAATGGCAAGATAAACACCGCCCGGGTTTTTTGCCTATGAAAAAAAGTGGAAACCCCTCCCCACACACACCGACCACGAGCACAGAAAGCACGGCCACAACAGAGCACGGCCACAACACAGAAAGCACGGCCACAACACACGTACTGTGCCCGCACCGCACGCGGTGCAGTTTAATATAAACGCGGGGGGGGGGGGGGGGGTGACACGTGGCTCCAGGCACCCTGCGCGACTCCAACGGCGAGCCAGCGACCCCGAGAGGCACATCGCTCGCCCGCCCATTCGTAAATGTTCGTCGAGGTGAAACCCTCGTCCTCACGTTCATCACGTGGGGGTTTCAAATGCAACGATAGCAAAAAAAGGCGGCTAATTACAGCGCGGCCGCCTATGTACAACCGTCAATATAAATCCAAATTATTATGATACATCATCATCCGTGCGGGGGTCCCACGGACCCGCTCTTGCCCCCGGGGCCCCCCCGTGCCTGTTTAGACCCTCACTTCCTGAGGCGCCGTGTCCTGAGCAACAAGCCGGGCCCACGGGCCCAAGACGGAACCTCAACATGAACCCCTCCCAGGAGTGTGCACGGAGGGGGCGCTCCGAGGGGACGGGGGCTTGAGGCCTCCTTCTCGACGGCTCCCAGGACTGCTGGGAACGTGAGTGAACGCGGTGTGAGAGAATGCGCGTCAGTAAATGCGCGAGTGCGCTGTGATTGAGTATGATGTGCGTCTGGTGTGAGCCAGTGTGCTGTGCGTGTGGTGTGCTGTGTGGGGTGCGGGTCACATGGGGTGTCGCTAGGTGGAGGTCGTGAGCGCAGTTGCTCTCTGATGCCGAGAAGGAAGTGGCGGTGGAGGCGGTAAAGCCACGAGGTGAGCGCGGCAGCCAGCGGAGGCGGCGTCCAGGGCCTGAGCTCGCGCGTTCCACCGTGAACGCACGGAAGAGTGGCGAGGCTGAAGGGGGCGCTCAGCTGTCAGTGGCCTCCACTGCATCCTGCGGGGAGCAATCAACATCAGTGAAGACAGCCGCTGTCTCCTGTTGTAGTGCACTGCACGTGCGTCGCAGGAGACGCGGCGGACGGGAGGTGCAGGTGGTGGGAGCTGTGGGTGGTGGGAGATGCGGATGATGCTTCCCCCCCCCCCCCAAGCGCCACACTCGATGGGATGAACCTCGCTCTGAATTATGCATGTGGGCGGTAATGGCGGCTTGTTTGCACGGCAATGATTTTTTAGCCGTGCGCAGATCGACCGGAAAGCACTCGCGGTCTCACAGCCAGGAAAGGAGGGGAGGCGCGGACAGCCGAACTGATGCAACTCGTGAGTGCCGTCGCGCCTCCTCTGAGATTTGACGAGGCCTCGTCACGTGCTTGGGTCAGAGCACGAGGGCCATCGTCATGGACATCGAGTCAATTTTGACGTAATCAGTTAAACTCATGGCAGCGCATAGTCAGCGTGCCGCGGTGACGAGGAGTCGTGGCGTCGACCGCTCAGGGTGCCACCAGTGTTTACCCAAGTCGTCTACAAACGGTTCATTTATGTTCTCTGAATTGAGGCAATAACCGATGGGATCGTTCAGTCGTTGATAGTTGCAAGTTCAAAGGACAAGGCCTGTACATGTTGCGCACTGTGCCTTGTATGTATATATGTTGAACTTCTATCACACCGTACGTAGCTAATCGGAGGTGCGGGGTGCGTTCCTATGGGATGAGAAGTGGAACCGTGGCGAAATGCACCACGTAGCTCAGAATTCAGCCTTCAGCTAAAACTTAGCGGGAGTTTTATTTCCTACGCGACTTGTTTACCTGGGGAAGCCTCACCGAGTCTCGACTCTTTTCAGGGTGGTCGTGTTAAGTTTTCGCAGGAGGTGGCGACGATTTGCTTTGTGTTTTCCAATTAGGTATTTTGTGAGTCATCTTTTCAAATTTCGCTAAAATGTGGACCATGACGGTGGAACATAATGGCTTTTACTCTTCATTTTATGTCACGGGATATTTCATGCCCACTGTGAAAAGCAGATGACGTGAAGTATTTAATAGTCAAAGCAAGTAGCGTTAACTAGGGCGGCTTGCCAGACCCCTTCAGCAACCGGTAAATGGGCCACTGCTCTGCTGTCAACCCGACCATCCAATATCCCCCATAACCTACTCCTAGAAGTAGCGAAGCTCCCTGTGTGGGGACGTGTGAGTCAGTGGGGACCACGTCACCACGGGCCCCCATCCCATCCCCTCACCATGCCGTCGTGATCACTGCCCCGAGAGCTGTTGCTCATCGAGCTGCCGGCATGGTGGCACTCGCTCCTAGGACGCGCCCCGTCTGCTGCCCCATCCTCGGACTCTTCACCATCATCAAATTCTACAAACTGTTCACTGTAGAACTCGTTTTCCTCATAATCGTCGTAATCATCGTCGTCAGAGGAGCTTGTGAGCCACGGGGGCACGCGCCTCTGTGCGGGGCTCCGGGCCCGACGCTGACTCAGCTCTGCACCGGGATCCTTGTGCCGGCAACACAGACACGGGATAGCGTCATCATCCAGCCACATCTTCCGACCCATCCACCATGATCCATCACACACACACTAGCCACCGTCATCCAAAAAACCCATACTGTCCAGCTCACATCCACCCACTGTGCACCCCACACACACATTAAATCAATACTCTACATTATGTACACAAGCAAACATCCATAACGCACCACAAAATAACCCTTTCAATACTGTACGTCCACATAATGACACATGCGTCACATGCCCAGCCATTAAACCAATTCTGTACGTGCAAGTACGTATGCATAATACCCATTCCATCTGGCTGGGTCAAATAATTGAATGTGCCCCAGCATTGATTCTGTGTGTTCTTTAATCTCTTCTGCTTGTTTATCCAGGAAAGCCACGAGACTCTATTTCAGGAGGGTCCTGCCAAGTTTTGCACAGTAAGGGGCAATGATCACTACGCGTTTTCAATCAAGTAATTTGCATCGTACTGTGTAAAATTTGGCCAATTATTACCATAACGCCGGGACACAATGGCCTACTATTCTTCAAAAGAGATCACGGGATCTATGACATCCACTGTAGAGCAAACGCTGCATAGTATTTCAAGGTTATTACACCCGGAGTAATAACCGGGTCAGCCTACCAGATTACGAACCGTGAACCACTACAATATGCAGTAAACGTGCTACCAATGGGCCATATGTCAAGATGTTACCAGGGTCTGGGCACACGAGTACGTGCCCTGAGCCCACGTGCGGAGGGATGGAGGCGTAACCTCTCACCTGGGCCGCTCCGCACAGCGAGGAGAGCTGCTGCTGCTGCTCCAGGTGGAGTCGCTGCTCCAGTCCGGGCGAGGCGACGTCTCCCAGCGGCTCCAGGCAACGAGCCGGCACCAAGCCCAGGCGACCTCTGACCTCGGCGTGCCGCAGCCCCGCCGTGCGCAGCCTCGGGCCCCCAGCGAGGATGGCCACACGCACCACCTCCCCTGCGCGTAGCCCCAGCTGGGCCAAGATGGGGGCAGTGCACGCACACGCTCACGTACGCACGCAGCACCCCCCATCGTCCTGGCTTCTCAATGTGAAATCACCTCGTGGCTCATATGGCCATGAGTGTCCCCATCCCAGTCCCCCTCTTACCAGGGGCAGGTCAGAGGTCGGTGCATCTGCAGGAGGCTGGTAGTCACACAGCGCTATGTAGGAGGCCAGCTCTGGTCCTGCCCCGTAGCTCCCAGTGTCATGGTCGGGACTGCCGGCCCGGCTCTGTGAGCTCAAGAGCAGGGTTAGGCCTCCTGCTGCACAACACGAACCCCACACACACGCGCACACGTCGGCTTACAAGGGCAGCGGTGCTCGTGCCAGGCGGTGGTGGAAGGTGCAAGTGGCTTAGTGCTGATAGTGCTGGTGACAAACGTTTGTCCAGGTGCTCGTGTTGTTGGTTAGTGTTGATTGTGGTCGGTGATGGATTTTGGTGGTGGCTCTTGGCGTTGGCAGTGGGTGCTGTTGATGGGTACCAAGGCGGTTGTCTTGTTGCAGTGGGTGGGTTCTCTTGCAATGCCAGGAGGCCCCATAACCATGTACAGGCTCGGAGGACCCCGCGGCATCAGTGTGGGAGTCGGTGCAGCGGCTGGTCGCTGGGGGGTCGCCCTGCCAGACGGGACCAGGGTTCAATGGAAATCTCAAGACTGAGATCCAAAACGAGTCCCTAGCCACAAGGGAGCAGTGCAGGCGCGGTGGCACCAGGGTGCCCAGGTGTGTAGACGCAACATCTCGCCACTAGCCTCGTATCACTCGGCTCGCGTTTGTCCCCTGCATTTAACATTCTGTTTTGGGGACGCCCAACATTAATGTCAATTGAGGCAGCTACAAAGCAAACAATATGCGTGCGAGGGAAAATGAAAGGAGGAGCGTATTTGTGTGTGGTACATCGTTTGTGTTGGGTGTCAGGGCTATGTGTTGTGTATTCCCTATGGTGTGTACTGCATCTGGGGTAGTATGGTGGGCCTGCAGCGTGTTGTGTATGTAGTATGTGTCATGTGTAGTATGTTTGTAGTACGTGTGTGTGGTGTGTACATAGTGGGAAGCAAAGGTGGTGTATCTACCAGTCATCTCAATCAGTCAACCTGTGACCTGCCAACAAGCCTTCGACGTTTCACATGAAGACCTCGCAGGGCACTTAGCCTGGCACAAAGTTAAGCGGTGAATGGCGGCCGTTACTGCTGTCCGTGTGTGTGTGCGTATTCTGGCTTGTTCTGCCTGCACGTGTGGCTGGGCTGTACTTTCGAGCCGCTCCTGGGTAGGTACTCGAGGAGGTAGTCGTCCATGGTGGCGTCGTGCAGCGCCTCCTCGGCCTCCTGCACCAGGGGGCCCCCGGCCACACCCAGGGCCCGCAGCTCCTCCACCAGGCGACAGAGCAGGGCACCTCGTGCGCCGCACTTCCCCACGACGTTCGCCAGTCGCGCCTGCGACGGAAGCGAGAGTGTACGTTACGGGCTGCATCTCTTTCGCTGCACGTGTTGCACAAGCAGCAACAACAACAGCGGTCGCCATTCGCCACGAAGTGGCGGTGATGTCACCACAGCACTAAAGCCAGTCTAGGGGCCCTTTGAGGCCACGTGAAGTGTCGAAGGCTCGCTGACAGGTCACGTGACAGACAAAGGTGTTATAGGTTGACTGATCGATGACTGACAGATGCACCAACTGTGCTGCCCACTGTGCCAACTTGCTGCGTTTAAGCCGCCTGGTGATCCGCTTGTTGTGAGCGTCACTTCTTTGCTCTCTGTTGTTGTTGGGGGACAACTGCCTCCAGCTGCCTAGTAGCGTACTTCACAAACCTCCACAGAGGCCGATCTTGACACCCCTGTACTAGTCATCGGCAGCTTCACATTCTTCTGTACTGCATCAGTCCATATCTTTTCTAGCCTGTTTCACACCCATTTAGCCCCTCTGTCTGGCCAATCAGACGCTGCTGCGGTGGCTGGGTTGCGTGACAAAGCCAATTCAACTGCGTCTGCCGGAGGAGCTCACTGTTGCGACAGTGTCCAAATCTTTTACAGATCTGTGAGCTCATCACACGATGTCAACTCCAGCTGCAAGCGATGACAAAATTCTCGCTTGCAACTTTCATCACGAGGCCGAGACCAGGCTACTGTGGGCTTCAATGGGTATTGAGGTGAATGCACTGCAGGTGCATTCCGTCACAATGCAGTCCAGCAGGTGTGGTTGCTGTACGCACCTTGAGCGGAGCCACAGCAAGCTCGGCCTCAATCCTCTTTTGTTGGAGCAATGCGATCTGCGTGAGCGGCACAGAAGCACAACCACCCACATTACCACCTCGTCTGTGCTGACCAGGCAACGGGCAGTGTGTGTGTACTGTACACGTGTGTGTACTGTACACGTGTGTGTGCAAGTTCAATAGTGGGGAGTGGTGGCATAGTGGTTATAAACCTAGAAACCCGAGTTCGATTCACAGCCAACATCACATGACAAATATCTGAACCGGTTGTGGACCTTTACACACCGCACCAGTATCTGGTGCGGTGTGTAAACATGACCACTGGGGAGACAAAGGTGGCTTGACATGGTGCTAGCCACATCGCCTCCTCGTGTTATGTGTTGGCCTTCACAGGTGCTCCATAAAACACTTGCTCCGACCGTCTGTTAAGTTTTTTTGTGCACGTGCAAAACACCTGGCTTTTGAGACTCTTGTAGCTCTGCAGCAGAAAGTTGATGTCCGTGCCGCCCTCCCTGGTGCTGCTGCTCTCCCTGTGGCCTCTCTCTTCGTTCTCTGGCTGCTCTCCGTACCGAGCCGGCCCTGGTGGATGTGTTCCCCCTGCTCCGCCCCGCTTCGAGAGGCTGGCTACCGCACGTCCCTGGAGGGCTTCCGCCTCGCGCAGCGGAACCCAAACGTCGGGCCCCTCCGACTCGCCATCTCCGCACGACGCCGGCAGCCGTCCCCCGTCAGCGCGTCGCTGGGATCCATCTCGCTCGAGTGCGGCGATGCGTTGCTCCAGCAGCGCGTTCTCCCGCTCCAACTTTCCGACTTCTTGCGCCACCGCAGCTGTCGTGCTCCATGCGCCCGGCTCCCTGCCCGGACTTTCTGACGCGAAGACGGCGGCGGGCCGGAATCTGCCACCGCAACTCGCCCGCAGTTCCTGGACGTCGCGTTGAATGCGCACGTCCTCCCGTCCTTCCCTCGCCTCCTTCTCGTTGTCCCGCAGCGCCGACAGCCTCCCCTGCAGCATGCCACGCTCTGCCTCGCTCCGCTGCAGCTGCTCTTGGAGAGACCTGAGCAAGGCAGACATTTCCGACGAAACCGGAGCGTCTGCCATGTCGGTCGTGACGCTCGTACCATCCGTGATTGCCGAACGCTGCCGTCCCATTTCTGCGTCCGTCATGCACGCCGCATCGCTCCGACTGCAGCCCCTTCCCAGCTGAGTGTTGTGGCGACTCCGGGTGCCCGCCAGCTGCTCTTGCGCATCACCTTCGCCGGCTGCCCCGCGGCGCTCGGCCCGGGCGTTGGTGTTTTTGTCACCGCCCGGCTCTCGCTCCCGGGCTATCCTTTCCATCTCTCCCTTCATGATGTTGTTCTTGGTCACAAAGAGGAGGTTCTCTCCCTCGAGTTGGCTCAACCTCTCCATGAGTAGCTGGTTCTCATGTATCAGGATGTCTTCTGGCCTGCAACAGCTGCTGCTGGTGACACCGTTGTCTTGACTGCCGTGGCTTCTGTTTCTATCTTCTGCATTTACCTCTTCCACGTCCTCCCTCTCATCACTCTCCTCCCTCTCCTCACTCCCCTCCCTCTCCTCACTCCCCTCTCTGCTTGTGGAATCGGAGAGGCCACAGAGAGTGGCGCTGTCAGCCATCTCTTGTGCTCCGCGCGAGTGTTCCTGCCGCTCTGCACACTGGACACAGCCGATGTAGCACAGTTATCGCTGTGGACAGCACCAGCTGCTGGAGATGTATGGTATGTGTGTTGAACTTCTTTCGCACCGTATGTAGCCAACCGTGCTAATCAGAGAAGTTCAGTTGCCAGGGTTAGGGTTGTGTCAGATTTTGTGTGTGTTTTGGCTTTGGGGTAATTTTTTTTAAATCCAAATTTTCTGTAAATGATAAAACGTATGCAGGCTGGAAACAAACCGATTCAACTGCACCCAAAGGAGTGCTGCTCACAAACGGCAGGACGGCACGACTCCCATCACACTTGCATGCCTGTCACGCGACCAATGCATCACATGCAAAGTTCTAGCTCCAGAGCCGAATGAGGCCACCGACTGATGAAGAGTTGAAATCGTGGCCGTCCCAACATATCTAGCGGACACGTGGTCAGCTCTGTGGAGCTGGTGGCTCAGACACGGCTGAAAGCATTGTGCACGCCGTGTGGTGGTCACGTGACTCGCATGCAAGCGTGATGGGGAGTCATGTCGTTCTGGCTGAGTGTGAGCAGCGCTCCCATTGTGTGTTGGAGTTGTGTGAGGATTGTGTTGGGGTTTGTGGGTTTTGGTTATAAAGTTAAAGAAGACAATTGCAAAGGCCCTGGTGTGGGGTACAATGTTGTAATTCTTCAGAAACGTGGGCATTAAGAATGGACAAAAGTGGAAAATCGGGTTGTTTTCAAACGTGGGTTTAGCGTCAAATAGAGAATATCAGTTGACAGGAATTCCAACAGGGCAGTACTTAATCAGGTTCAGCAATAAACCCGATGGCAACCAATCAAAAGATGGCAACATAAGTGGAGAGTTGATATCTAGGTGTGAGGTCTTGCAGAGAGATGCTCGGGAGGGAAGGATGATCGGAAAAAGGTCTCGAGGTTTGACAAGCTTGAAAAGTAGGAAATGTACTTGTAACTGAGAAGGGAAGCACAGGATCAGATTGATAGAGGAAGAATGGGTCAAACAACTCTCCTTGGGCAGAAAAGGCTGACCTCTGACCTCACAGAGAAGTGTGGGGTCAGGGGGTCGGGGGTCAGGGGTCAGGGAGAGGAGGCCGTTACTCACCGCATGCCCCTCCCGCTGGCGAGCAGCGACAGTCTCCCCGGCCATCTCGGAGTGGCCCTCGCACACTCCCTCCAGCCAGGCCAGCAGGGCAGTCGGACCTGGCTCACCCGGCTCCTCTGAATGGGCAAAGCAACGCGCGACAGCAGGCCAAGCTGCTTCGTGAGCTCCTTATCCCGTGCCTCTGTGCATCTGCGTCTCAGCCATGCGCAAGTTTTTTTTTTAATTTTGTTTAGCCGGAGAACACTCAAGAGATCAGGAGTCTCATTCGCTGCATCACCAATATGACAAGAGTAGTAACATAAAACAAAGAACAATGAAGGTAATATAAATCAGCACAAAAACAACTGCATTATATAAGAAATCATAAATACTCCACAAACATAAACATTAAATCAGATAAATTCATGTTACAAAAACTGCCTCCAATTTTTACATAATGTTAGTACTGTAAATAGTTTCAGAATGCGCTCTGCATTACGAAGTGTTGTTTATGCTAACATTACCACGAGTAAGGAGACCTCTTAACAGACCCCGATCACCAGCCCCACAGTCCTTATAAGACTGCAGCCCCTGGTCCCCCTCGGCTGTTTAACACAGTGGAAAGTTGCCGCATTTTGCCTTTTCAAATCCGCCAACCAAACCAATTCCACGATCATTTACCGACGAAGCCGTTCGGCCTGAGTGGCTGTGCCAGTGAGGCAATTCGTGGTCTCCCAGCTCGACGTGTGTGCCCAGCCAGTGGGTGGCTCTGTACGCCCAATCCAAGCGAAGGGGCCGTTTATCCTATGGAAGGAGTGCGGCTTTAACAAGAACAGGGCGATCCTACAGTACAATTAAGTTAAGAAACATGGAATTCGGGCGATTATTGCACTAGAATATAAACAGACAAGGATAAAATTAAATGTGTTACAGCTGATTTTAGATTTAAAGCTTTCGTGACTGCAAGGATTCATACTCTTTGGTTTTTTTCGGTAAAGTCACGTAGGTAAAAAAAAATCACGACGTTTCGGGCGCAACACAAGCGTCCTTCTTCAGGTGGGGACAACGTAGCGAAAGCACAAACGCTTAAAGTGTGTCTCAGAGATGGTTGTGACGAGGGATTATATAGTCGCGGGGCATGGAGGGAGGGGGGGGGGCATGGTGAGTGTGGGGGCGGAGTGTGGGCTGGGAGGAGAAGTTGCAAAGCCGAGGGTGCACTAGGAGGCAACTGGTGGAGCCGAGACTGAGGCTTTGTGATGTAGATGGCGGAAGTAAATAAGCAAGCTAGGATTAAGCCGCCTTTTGTTACGCTGCCGTGTGAGTAAATTAGAAGAGGGCAGGCTAACAATGTAAGGAGTTCAAACTGGAATGTGTAAGCTAAAAAACAACTTGTGGTAAACACTACCATGGCGATGGTAGTGTGTAAAACTGGGGGTAACAGACTGGGAATATGGGTATGTTTATGAAAATACATCTAAACTGGCTGTCTAGCAGTAAACTGCCCGGTAGCTAAAGTTTGACTTGGTTAATTACATCTTTCCAATGATTGCTCAATTTGAATCCATCATCTCGGTTGAAGTTATGTCTATGTTTGTATATCTGGATGGCTTCATGGACAAATCTTTGGTAGTATCCGATACCAAGGTGCTCTGCAAGACTCCTGGATACTACCACCCGGCAGCATAACAAAAGGCGGCTTAATCCTAGCTTGCTTATTTACTTCCTCCATCTACATCACAAAGCCTCAGTCTCGGCACCACCAGTTGCCTCCCAGTGCACCCTCGGTTCTGCAACTTCTCCTCCCAGCCCACACCCCGCCCCCACACTCACCATGCCCCCCCCCTCTCTCCATGCCCCGCGACTATATAATCCCTCGTCACAACCATCTCTGAGACACACTTAAGCGTTTGTGCTTTCGCTACGTTGTCCCCACCTGAAGAAGGATGCTTGTGTTGCGCCCGAAACGTCGTAATTTAATTTAGTTTTCATTTATTTTGTTTATTTTTTTACCTACGTGACTTTACCGAAAAAAACAAAGAGTATGTGTTACAGCTGTCATATAGAACTGCAGCTTGGCTCGCAGAGCCTCGTCTGCTTTCTCTTGAGTTTTAGGAGAACCACACCACACAGTGAGGGACAACCAGCAGTGTAGTGTGGGAGTGACAGAGCGTCGATCCACACCGGCATGTGTTGGATAACGTGACTGTTAATGCCCAACTAGGTCATGATGCAATCACTTCGGCAGGAGTGATTAAAAGGCAGAGGCCAAATCCACTCAATAACAATAGTGGAAGGCTGCTAAACGTCAGTGCAGCTTGCAAACACCAACACGCTAAACCTGTATTGGCGCATCCACACACTATCGTGACTGCACTCCACATCTGCTGGACTAGGGGTCGGCAACCTGTGGCTCCAGAGCCGCATGCGGCTCTTTAAGGACTGCTTCGTGACGTTATTTATCAAGGACCACCGTCCCGTATTCACCACGTGCATTGCGGATCTTGAAATCGTGAGTTTTTTACGAATTCGATAAAAATGCCTCTTCTTGTTACTTTGGTTGCCGACCCCTATGATGGACCGTATAGTGACGGAATAGCACATTGCTGCACGCTTGTCCTTGACACCAGGACACGTGCACACACGTAGACACACGAATGTACGCGCACGCACAGGTGCCCTGCGCACGCACGCACTGGTGATGGTGCCCAGGGTCAGTGTCGTCTGCAGATTCTTGTTGAGGGTCGGGTCCATCGCGTTCCTCCAGCGGCGTTCTAGGAGCTCCTCCCAAAACACCATCTCTCCACTCTGCACTCACACGCGCGGACACACACAGACGCCCACTTGCAATGATAAACACAAACACCCGCTTGCACACACACACACATATCACTTGTTTAAGCCTTGGGCACTTGGGGCAAGTACCATTAATGAACACCTATTAAATTCTAGATTTAAAGCTTTCGTGACTGCTAGGATCCCTACTCTTTGGTTCTATTGGGTAAAGTCACGTAGGTGAAAATAAAATAACAAAAAATCACGACGTTTCGGCCACAACACAAGCGGCCTTCATCAGGTGAAGGGACGAGACTGTCTGGAGGACAGCGCTGGAGTAGGAGAAGCCACGCTTAGATCACGACCTTTAAGCTGTGTTTGAAGAAAAACACAAAGTGCCTTGACAAAGGAATTAGCATATAATTTAGCATTGAAATGGCTCATTGAAATAGCTAAGTTAAAGTATACACATCCGCAGAGGTACGACTTGACAAAGGAATTAGCATAGAATTTAGCATTGAAATAGCTGAGTGATTAGCTTGTAACTGGTCACAGAAATAGCTATGTTAAAGTCAGAGCATATACATTCACCGAGGCACCTAGTACTCATCAAACAGGAGAATTTAGCGAAACACAACCATGCTCAGACAGCGGACCTTTAAACTGTGTGCGAGCAAACAAGGTGTTCTGACAAAGAAATTAGCATAAAAATAAGCATTTGATTGGCGGATTTTAGGAAAGAGGTGGTGTACGTGCCGGTGGACTTGCCGTTTGGCGCGGGGGGGGGGGGGGAGGGGGAGTTTACCTATTGATGGTGTGAAAAGGGAATTTATAAGAGCTGCGAAAGTTTGGGGTACCACTACTTGAAAAATATACTGTACCACTGAAATTAGTTTAATGTTTAGTTCGATTTAGAACATCTTTCCAATGGTTGCTTAATTTGAAACCATCCTCTCGGTTGAAATTGTCTGTGTTTGTAGATCTGAATTGCTTCATGAACAAATCTCTGATAAAAGCCCGTGGGTTTGCAAAGAACCTTGGTATCGGAGAAAATTATATCGTGATCCCCCACAGCGTTGTAACAGTGATCAGCCATGGCAGAAGAATTCGTTTTGCCGTGTTTCAAATCTGATTTGTGCTCGCGAATTCGGTCAGAGACATGTCGCTTTGTCTCACCGATATAGCAATCACCGCAGGTACAACTCAATTTGTAAACCCCGGGGTACTGTAAATCAGGAATGACATCCTTCACGGATGGGATCAGATCACGAATTTTGTGTACTGTATTGAACCGGACCTGGATCTTGTGTTTGTTTAGAATTTTGGAAATCTTTTTAGTAACACCTGCTATATATGGAAGTGTGATGGTTTTGACCGGAGTATCAAGCGGTTGTTTCTGTATGGAGGGAGAGACAGCTTGGCGGATGGTACGGTCAGAGTAACCATTCCTTTTGAGGGCCAGGTGTACATGTTTTAATTCACTGGTCAGATGGTGTTGGTCCGAAATGCAATGAGCCCTATGGTATAAAGTTTCGATGAGAGAATTCTATTGGGCTGGGTGGTGGTGGGAATCAGGTTTCAAGTAGGAATCTTTGTGGGTGGGTTTCCTGTAGACAGAATGCCCCAATGAGCCATCAGGTCTCCTCTCAAACAGAACATCTTTTCCTACATTACATCAATTCCAGACATCCCGCCATCAAATTCACCATGGAAGTGGAGAAAGATGGCAAGCTACCATTCTTAGATGTTCTGTTTGAGAGGAGACCTGATGGCTCATTGGGGCATTCTGTCTACAGGAAACCCACCCACACAGATTCCTACTTGAAACCTGATTCCCACCACCACCCAGCCCAAAATAATTCTCTCATCAAAACTTTATACCATAGGGCTCATTGCATTTCGGACCAACACCACTTTAATATAGCTATTTCTGTAACAAGTTACAAGCTAATCACTCAGCTATTTCAATGCTAAATTCTATGCTAATTCCTTTGTCAAGGGGTACCTCTGCGGATGTGTATACTTTAACTTAGCTATTTCAATGAGCCATTTTAATGCTAAATTATATGCTAATTCCTTTGTCAAGGCGCTTTGTGTTTTTCTTCTCACACAGCTTAAAGGTCGTGATCTAAGCGTGGCTTCTCCCACTCCAGCGCTGTCCTCCAGACAGTCTCGTCCCTTCACCTGATGAAGGCCGCTTGTGTTGTGGCCGAAACGTCGTGATTTTTTATTTTATTTTCACCAACGTGACTTTACTCAATAGAACCAAAGAGTATAAACACCTATTAAAGCCAACATTGCTTACGATTACAAGAGTGTGGTGTGGACAGTACAACGCCAGACCGTCTTTGTCTTCCCAGTGCTGATGTTGGTGCACCCCACCAGGTACTCATTTAAGGCTGAATTGACTCAAGAGAAGCCAAGGACAAAGTCTGCTTCTGTTTCCCATTGATGTTACCCGTGGCCAACAAACGCATGTCGCCGGGTGTATAGCTCCACTGCACCACCACTCGTGTAAACCGTCTGTCAACTTTTGATTTAAAGCTTTCGTGACTGCAGGGATTCATATTCTTGGTTCTTTCGGTAAAGTCACGTAGAAGGGAAACAATAAAATAATAAAAATATAAAACATTACAATTCTCACGACGTTTCGACTGCAGCACAAGCAATCATCATCAGGTGTGAAAACCACAGCAAGAAAATTTGAAAAAAGTGGCGTTTTTTTAACGTTAGCACCAAGGAGAGCGATTTGACAGTTTGTTCAGATCGACGAGTCCATCTATGTTCGGAAAAGAGGAGGGGGGAGACAAAAGTGTCATCCACGTACCTCTTCCATAAGGTTGGGCGCAGAGTGGCATGGGACAGATCCAGGTGCCATGGGTTGACTGACTGAAATGACTGGCAGATGCAGCAACTGTGCTCCCCAATGTGGCAACTTCCTGTGTTTTAGCTTCCCGGCACTCTGCTAAATGTTGTGAGCATCACTCCTCTGCCCTCTGTTGTTGCTGGAGGGCGACTGCCTCCAACTCCCCAGCAGCGTCCTTCACGAACCTCCACAGAGGTCGATCTTGAAAGTGCTGGTACCAATCAGATCTCCACATCTTTCTGTACCACACCAGTCCATCTCTTCTATAGTCCGTGCCACACCTGTTTAGCCCCAAATATCCACCCAAACAGTAGCTGCTTGGGCATGCGGTGGCTGGGCATGCAGCCTCGCTTGCCGGATGAGCTCACTGATGGGACTGTGTCCAGATCTTTCGAGGATTTATGAGCTCCTCACACAATCCAGTCTGGTTAAACCAAGAATGGATTGTTTGCAGGCCAGCCTGAATGTTTAAAACCTGCGCAAATGTTCCTTTAGAGGTCTCCACGTCTCGCAAGCATCGGGATGGGAGGGCATAACTGTTTCCGAGAGAACCATGAGCTTTGTATGGAGCAACAGGCCAGGTAGCTTCCACACAGCGTTGCGTAGCTGATGAAAATATAATGCTGCTAAACTGATTCAGAGTGGGACCTCGGCTGCCAAACCAGAGTTGGTCATAAGCACACTGCCCAAGTACGGAAACTTCTCCACTCTCTTCACAACTGCCCCATCACTCGTGGGGAGTTGAGGGAGGGGACCATTTGATGACATAAAATACTTAGGCAGGTGCTCTGCTGATGGTAAGGCCCCATCTCACACGCACCTACACACATACACTCGTACTGCCTTTCACGCTTGGACACACCTTCAGCTGGGAGCGCAGTTGGAGAAGTGATCGCTTGAGCTCCTGATATCGCGTTGGCTTCTCATCTTCCCCCTTGGAGATAAACGGACAGCACACAGACACGTGACCCACGTGAACACGTGCACCTTCATAAGACTCCCTGGTTGTGTGGCACAGGTACCGAGGTGTATGGTGGAAAAGTGCATATATGGCAGAGTGTGTAATATGATGTGCATCAGCCAGTCAACTCAGTCGACCCGTGGAACCTGGGTCTGCCCCGTGACCTGTCAGCGGGCGTACGACACTTAACGTCGCCTCAACGTACACACAGCCTGGCACAAGCGTCATGGTGACGTCACCGCCACGTAGAGGCGAATGGCCGTTGTTGTATAAGGTGTAGATAATGGAGTGTGTGGGAAGGTGTCTGATTAAAATGTTATGGGTTGTGTGAGAAAATTTGAAAGTGTGTGTGTGATGGGGTGGGTGTGTGTGGGGAGCGATAGTGTAGTGGTTAGCGCGCTGCGCTATGAACCCGGCAACCCAGGTTCAATTCCCACTCATGGCCAACACCAGTGACGATCTGAACTGGTCCTGGGCCTCCCCCAGGTCGACTCAGCCTCAAATGAGTACCTGTTGCGGTGTGTTAACATCGCCACTGGGGAGACAAAGGCGGTCGGGCGTGGTGCTGGCCACCCACTCCCTCGTGCGCCGTTCTGGCCTTCATAGGTGCTCGCTAACAGCACTTGCCCCTACAATCAGTTAACGCTATACGGGGGATCTTTGTGTGTGTGAGGAGCGATGGTGTAGCGGTTAGCACGCTGTGCTACAAACCGACGACCAAAGTTCAATTCCGACTCATGGCCAACACCAGTGACGATTATCCTGAACTAGTCCTGGGCCTCCCCTAGGTCGACTCAGCCTCAACTGAGTACCTGGCGAGATGTTTAAACATCGCCACTGGGGAGACAAAGGCGGCCGGGCGTGGTGCACCACCCACCCCCTTTGTTTGCCAGGCTGGCCTTCATAGGTGCTCGCTAACATCACTTGCCCCAAGTCTGTTAAGGCTATACAGGGGATCTTCGTCTTTTGTATTTGTGTGTGATGTGGTGGGTGTGTTTGTGTGTGTAATGATGTGTCATGGGGTAACTGGGAGGTGTGCCCACCATGCTGTCTGTGATGGACTTGCACAGTTGAATCAGTCTCCTGCTCTTTGGAGAGGCCTGCACAACACGAAAGCCATGTGGGGTGGGCGTGGGAGGGGAGGCAAGGCAGCGTGAGCATGCGCGAGAGTGATGGCGTCTTTAAATTTGCTTTATTAAACATGTGCAGCAGCAGTCTGAGATGCACAATAGATCTCATTCTTGCAAATTAGACTTTCCTACTCTCTTAAATTCTCAACCTGGTTAAACAAAATAAACGTAAATGAGATCTGCAATGGGGCAATGGGAATCCGGGTCAAATTTGGTCTTTGGGGGTCATGCGGTGATGATGTGGCGAGGGAGATGGAAAGGAGGATATGTGATGATGGGAACCCACGTGCCTGCACCTATGAAGGACGAACGAACACCATTATTGGAAGAGGTTGAACTCCAACAGGACCTGAAAAGCTTTTGCACTGCTCAAGACGTGATTTTGCATCTACATTAAGAGCTTCCGGGAGGAGACTGTGTAAAGCTAGCTGCGGGTGGGTTTGGATGAGACGTCGCACCGTGGTGAGTGCACAGGGAGGCCTGGTCGTGTGCTGGGCCGTGGCGTCCACACAGGATCGTGCTGGGCAGCCGTCCTCACCGCCGTTGTTCAGCTTCGTGGCCTGAATTTAAAGACGAGAGATCGGTCGGTCAAACCCTATGGGAGGGGGTGCTGGAACCATGGCAAAGGCATGTTGGGGCTGCCGGGGTCTGCGTGTGGCTGAAGACTCCAGCGTCCAACGGTAAGCGTGGTGGATAATTCGTGCACGGTAATTTCACACATGTACGGTGAGCATCACGTTGCTTTAATGATATATATAAGTATATGTTCTATGCACAAACGTTACCTGTGCATGGCAAATTTAGTGTGGTCTACACCTAAATCCAAGTCACTCAACTGGAGCGAGATAGGTTTTACACTTTCTGGCATTAAAGCAGGTGTTAAGATGTTCTTTGCACTGTTTGCCTTTGGTGTTCTCTGGTCTAACGCTGTTTAGATGAGGCTATAAAGAAGGATGTCACTGATGTAGACCAATTTCAAAGACAATGCATATAATATCAGAGCGTGTTTGCATGTTTTGCCAAAAGTACGTGTGGCTAATGCAGACTTGATACCTTACAAATGGTATCGATTTGGTGTTTGAACATCTTAACACCTGTATTATTGCCAGAAAGGGTAAAACCTCATTTTTCTTCATAGAGTGCATCTGTGTGTCTGTGGGGCAGCTGACCCTCTGCGTGGTGGAGTGTCTCCGTGGTGCTGTGTGTTGCGTGCGTGCATGCGCTGGTCCCTCTCTGTGACGCTGTGTCGTGACGGAGCGATGAGATGAAATTCTCACCGGTGTGGGCTCCTCCTCTTTCTGCTCCTCCTCACTCAAATCATCCTCCGTGCTGCGCCTCAGCTCGACTTCTTGCAGCCGCCGCTTGCAGCTGATGCACTGCAGCTGCCTCCTCTCAATCTCCAACGTTGCATTGTCTGCCTGTAACTTGGTGATAACTTGCTGTGATGTTACATTGTCTGTCTGTAACTTGGTGATCTCTTGCTGTAATGTTACATTGTCTGTCTGTAACTTGGTGATCTCTTGCTGTGATGTTACATTGTCTGCCTGTAACTTGGTGATCTCTTGCTGTGATGTTACATTGTCTGCCTGTAACTTGGTGATCTCTTGCTGTAATGTTACATTGTCTGCCTGTAACTTGGAGATCTCTTGGTGTGATATTACATTGTCTGCCTGTAACTTGGAGATCTCTTGCTGTGATGTTGCATTGTCTGCCTGTAACTTGGTGATCTCTTGCTGTGATGTTGCATTGTCTGCCTGTAACTTGGAGATCTCTTGCTGTGATGTTGCATTGTCTGCCTGTAACTTGGTGTTCTCTTGCTGTGATGTTACATTGTCTGCCTGTAACTTGGTGATCTCTTGCTGTGATGTTGCATTGTCTCCCTGTAACTTGGAGATCTCTTGCTGTGATATTACATTGTCTGCCTGTAACTTGGAGATCTCTTGCTGTGATGTTACATTATCTGCCTGTAACTTGGTGATCTCTTGCTGTGATGTTACATTGTCTGCCTGTAACTTGTAGATCTCTTGCTGTGATGTTACATTGTCTGCCTGTAACTTGGTGATTTCTTGCTGTGATGTTACATTGTCTGCCTGTAACTTGGAGATCTCTTGCTGTGACGTTGCATTGTCTGCCTGTAACTTGGTGATCTCTTGCTGTGATGTTGCATTGTCTGCCTGTAACTTGGTGACCTCTTGCTGTGATGTTGCATTGTCTGCCTGTAACTCGGTGTTCTCTTGCTGTAATGTCACATTGTCTGCCTGTAACTTGGTGATCTCTTGCTGTGATGCTGCATTGTCTGCCTGTAACTTGGAGATCTCTTGCTGTGATGTTACATTGTCTGCCTGTAACTTGGTGATCTCTTGCTGTGATGTTACGTTGTCTGCCTGTAACTTGGTGATCTCTTGCTGTGATGTTGCATTGTCTGCCTGTAACTTGGAGATCTCTTGCTGTGATGTTACATTGTCTGCCTGTAACTTGGTGTTCACTTGCTGTAATGTTGCATTGTCTGCCTGTAACTTGATAATCTCTTGCTGTGATGTTGCATTGTCTGCCTGTAACTTGGAGATCTCTTGCTGTGATGTTACATTGTCTGCCTGTAACTTGATGATCTCTTGCTGTGATGTTACATTGTCTGCCTGTAACTTGGAGATCTCTTGTTGTGATGTCACATTGTCTGCCTGTAACTTGGTGATCTCTTGCTGTAATGTCACATTGTCTGTCTGTAACTTGGTGATCTCTTGCTGTGATGTTGAATTGTCTGCCTGTAACTTGGTGATCTCTTGCTGTGATGTTACATTGTCTGCCTGTAACTTGGTGATCTCTTGCTGTAATGTCACATTGTCTGCCTGTAACTTGGTGTTCTCTTGCTGTAATGTCACATTGTCTGTCTGTAACTTGGCGATCTCTTGCTGTGATGTTGCATTGTCTGCCTGTAACTTGGAGATCTCTTGCTGTGATGTTGCATTGTCTGCCTGTAACTTGGTGATCTCTTGCTGTGATGTTACATTGTCTGCCTGTAACTTGGTGTTCTCTTGCTGTGATGTTGCATTGTCTGCCTGTAACTTGATAATCTCTTGCTGTGATGTTGCATTGTCTGCCTGTAACTTGGTGATCTCTTGCTGTGATGTTGCATTGTCTGCCTGTAACTTGGAGATCTCTTGCTGTGATGTTGCATTGTCTGCCTGTAACTTGGTGATCTCTTGCTGTGATGTTGTATTGTCTGCCTGTAACTTGGTGTTCTCTTGCTGTGATGTTGCATTGTCTGCCTGTAACTTGATGATCTCTTGCTGTGATGTTGCATTGTCTGCCTGTAACTTGGAGATCTCTTGCTGTGATGTTGCATTGTCTGCCTGTAACTTGATGATCTCTTGTTGTGATGTTGCATTGTCTGCCTGTAACTTGGAGATCTCTTGCTGTGATGTTACATTGTCTGCCTGTAACTTGGTGTTCTCTTGCTGTAATCTCTCATTCTTTGCATGTAATGTGGTGCTGTACACTTGTAATCTTCCAATGTTTTCTTGTAACACCGTGTTATCCACCTGCAATGTGGTATTGTGCGTGTGTAATGCGGTATTGTCGGCTTGTAGTTTTACATTGTCTGCCTGTAACTTGGTGCTGTCTGTGTGCAGGTTTGCAATGTCTACTTGTAGTTTGGCAGCAGTTGCTTGTAATGTTATACAGTCAGTCTGCAGTGCTGTGTTCTCTGCCTGTAGGCTTGCTGTGTCCTCCTGTAGTGCAGAATTCTCTGCCTGCAGCGCATGAGACGCTCTCTCTCGCGGCAGCTTGAGCTCACCGATCCGGGCCTTCATCTCCTCCAGCCTGCGCATGAGAAGCACCTCGCTCTCCAGCGCTTGCTCCAGATTCTCTTGCACCTCCACCCTCGCCCTCCGCTCCTTCTCCAACTCCTCGTGCAGCCTCGCCTCATCACGCAAAGCCTCACGCTCCCGGATCAGGGCCTCGTCGCCCAGCTGCAGGCAGCAGGAGAACCTGCCGAGCGTGTGCTGCTGCAGGACGGCCAAAGACTCGCTCGTTTCCACGGCGTCGCCCGGGCGATCATCGTCACCGACGGCCAGCGGCTCCGGGCTCAGTTCCGCGGCACTCGGGGCTGCTGACCCTCCCGGCTCCTCCTGCCGCCCCTGCAGGGCCTGCAGCTGGGCGCGCTGCGTGCACTTGTAGTGCTCGAAGTAGCGGGCCTGAGCCCGGAGCTCCGCCTCCTTAGAAAGGAGCAGCTCCTGGGAGCGACGGAGGCGCTCGCGCAGCACCAGCTCCGTGGTGTTCTGGCCCGACACCTGGAACACAGCAGCAGCAGCACCAGCAGTAGCAGCGACAACGTCGACAACACGGTCACTGGGAAACTCGTGCACACAGGGCATGCAGAGTGAGGAACAGCGAGTGAGTGCTAATAACGCCAATGTGGCGTGGGACGATGTAGTGGAGTGCAAGCGTTGCGGGTCGATTGTGCAGAGATATAAAATGCAGCCGCACCGTGGCTTGGAGGTCACGCTGCGTGCACAGCAAAGAGCGCAGCCGAGTCTGCAGAGTGACCACCTCCAGGACCTCCTCAGTCTCCCCAGGGCCCCTGGGCCCTCCTGGGCCCTCTAGTCTCCCCTGTGCTCCTGCCGCCTCATTTAGCTGAGCTTTGAGATTGGCCTCAGACTTTTCGAGCTCCTGTACTCTGCACACGAGGCACAATCCAAAAGCATGCATTTAATTACGCAAAAAATGGCGGCAACACATGGGACGAACAATGATGGTTCGAATCCAGCAGACCACCCTGGTTAGTACTGCGGTTTTTGTTCTCTAACCATAAAATACTACAGACTATCGGCTTCGCAGTGGATGCTAAAGAACCTGTGAAATCATTCGAAGAAGAGTAGGCCATTGTGTGCTGCCATCATGGTCCACATTTGCAGCTGAACAAGCGAACATTTGCAAAAATAAAGAACTTGGAGGAAGCAGTGGTGATGGTGTCTCACCTGTCCAGGAGTTTGGCCTCAGAGCACTGCAGGGAGGAGACCTTCCCGTGGAGAAACCTCTGCTCCTCTTGGAGAGCAACCAGTTCTTGGGTGAGTGACTCCACCTGCGTCCGTACCACCTGCAGCTCTTTGACGGTCTTCTGCTCGCGCTCGCCAGCCTCGAGAACGTCCTGGGGAAGCATCGCCAATCGCCACCGATTACACAACGGTTGCCACAGCCCTGCTGAGGGCACAACTCAGCTGTTGAGCCACGCACCTACCTGCTGCAGATGGGAGCACCTGTTGCGCAGCGCAGCTTCTGCGCGGGCGAGGGACGCGTGGGCGGCCTGGGCCGCATCCCTCTCCTTGCGAGCGGTGGCCCCTGACTCCCTCTCCTCCATCACGGTGGCGCTTGCTCCGTCCAGCTGCTCAACCAGGCGAGCGAGCTCGGCGCGGGCCTCATCCCGCTGGGAGCGTAGGGCCACGCTGGCCCGCTCGGCCCCCTTGGCACGCTGGCCCAGCCGCGATTCCTCGCGCCTCAGCTCTGCGCCCGCCATCTCCAGCTGCTCAATGGTGGTGGACAGACGGGCCTCCCTCGCAGACGCGTCGCACGTCGTCTGGGCCAGGGTGGACGCCCACTCCGCCTCTCGCTCCGCGAGGGCGGAGGCCGCCGCGTGCATGGCGCCGTCGTGCTCTGCTCGCTGCGTCTGTGGGAGGCAATGGAAGCAGCGAAGGTGCCGTAAACGTTGCAGCTACAGGGAGTTGACAGCGTGGATGGCTGGGGAAGGAAGATGAAGACTATGGGGGCAGCAGAGGAGGATGTGCAACCTCCCACTGAGCCTTGGTTTCTGGAGCAAAGATGTGTGGAGTGAGAAAAGAGGGGAGAGGTAAGTGAGTATAAGTGTTTGGGTTGTGTCGAAAGCGATAGTGGAGAGGTTAGCGCGCTGCGCTATGAATACGGTGACCCGAGTTTGATTCCGATTCACGGCCAATATCAGTGACGATTATCTTAACCAATCCTGGGCCATCCTTCGGTCGACTGAGCCTCAAATAAGTACCTGGTGTGGTGTGTAAGCATCATCACCAGGGAGACAAAGACAGCCGGGTTTAGTGCTGGCCACCCACCCCCTCGTGTGCCGTTCCCGTTTTTATAAGGTGCTCGCTAACAGCACTGGCCCCAACAGTATGTTAAGGCTATACGGGGGATCATTGTGTTTGTACTGGGTGAGGTTGGCATGGCAAGTACACGCATCAGCAGCAACACAAGGAGTGGTAGTAGTGATGCACCCCCACACCTCCAGCTTCTTGGTCAGTATAGCCACCTCCTCCTGCAGTCGTGCGACCGCCCCCTCAGCAGCCAGCGCCCGCGCAGTCTCCCGCTGCCACTCGCCATTCAGTTGCTCCAGGGAGGCCTCGGCCGCTCCTCCTCTCGCCCTCCAGCGGTGAAGCTCCTCGCCGAGCGAGCGCTGGCGCCGGCGCACCTGCCACACGCGGTACGATCATCGCTCGCCACCCTCGCCGGCACCGCCACCGTCGCGCCGCCTCGTCGCCATGGCTCTCGGCTCCTACCTCTTCATTGCGAATGACAAGTCGCTGATGTGTGGCCTCCATGTCCTGCAGCAGGGCCTCCTGCTGAGCAAGGCGAGCCGCCATCGCACGCTCCGTGTCAGCCTTGGCCTCCAGCAGGGCCTCGCCACGGACCAGTCGCTCCTGTAGGGCGGATGCCCTCTCGTCCGCCACACCACACTACCCAGAGAGAGGTGCACGCAGTGATCTACTGCAGGCAGAGTGTGGTCTGGCACTCGAGGACTGCTAATTAGTGGCATAAGGCATTGGGCCCCTGCTTGCCCTTGTGAATGCGAAGCTGTGTGGGGCTGCCCCTTGCCTGCTCTTCGGTGACGCGGAGCCGCTCGATGATGTGGCGCTCGCTTCTCTCCTTGGCCTGCAGCTCCTCCCGCAACCGGTCCCTCTCCTGCTCGAGCTCCCCCAGACGCTGCTCCTGCTCGGCGAGCTCTCCCTCCAGCACAGTGAGCAGACGGGAGCCGCCGGCACCACTGGGATTCATGGAGGCCTCGGCTGCCAGGCTCAGCTGCTCGTGGAGGTGCTCCCGCTCTTGCGCAATCTCCGGGAACTCGAGCGCCGGCTGCCTGCTCTTGGCCGCGTCCACTACGGGGCACGGACAAGGATCACACAATTAACCGTCGGGCGCTTTGCCCATGCGGGTGAAGTCACGCAAGGTTCAGCGCGAGGGGTTCATGCCCAACAGCCGAGACGGTCCGCCGGGCGTCCTGCACCTTTGTGCTCAGCGAGTTTCTTCTCGGCCGCGTGGCGCTCTTGGCGCGCCTCGTCCAACTGCTGCTGCAGCCGAGCCTCGGCGGTGGCCCTCTCGGCGAGCTGCCGCTCCAGGCGGGCGGCCCGGTCACGTACCCGACCCTCCCTCCCCACGGTTTCACGCACGATCTCCGCCTGCTGGGTGGCCCGACGCTCCGCGCGTCGCTTCGACAGCTCGTGCTCTGTCACGGCGTCCTCCAGCTCAGAGACGCGCTTTTGCAGCACACGGCGATCGGACTCCAGGTCGGAGACCTGCATCAAGGGTCAGCACGGATGAGCGTGGTGCAAGGGTTATATGCGCAGTGCAAGCACCACACATACACACGATGCTGCCGATTCTGTAAGGTACCTTCACTTGCTCTAATCGTGAAGTCAGTGGTGATGATGGCGGTGGTGGTGGCGATGATGATGGTGATGGCGGTGGTGATGACGATCGCAGTGGTGCTGGTGGCCCGGCCATGCCTGCATGGTCAGCTCGTCGAGCGACACCTCCAGCTGTGCCCGGAGTGCCCTCTCATCCCGCAGCAGGCGATTCAGGCGCTCCGTACGTGCGTTCATCTCCTCCTCCACCTCCTCCTTCTCTTCTTCCAGGCGCTCCACCTGCCAGCGGCACGGGCAACACGTGTTCGCGTGGATGACACACGCGACCTCCCCCCCCCCCCCCCCGGCCCTGCCGCGTGGCCCCCAGGCGGCCGCGATCCCGGGCAAGCGCACCTGCTGGAAGCGTTCGGCCAGCCGTCGTTCCGTCTCGGCGTGCTCCGCCAGCCTCTCCTCCAGTCGCGTAGCCTTGAGCTGGGCCACGCGCGCCTGCTCCTGCAGGGCCCGCTCGCGGCACGCCCGCTCCGCCTCGGCGGCCTCCGCCAGTTGCAGCAGCCCCTCCAAGTTGGAGATCCTCTCGAGCAGCGCCGCTGCTTCGCGCTCCGATCCCAAGCCGCACTCCACCGCACTTTCCGCCAGGTTCGCAGACGATGCCTCGAGCCGTTGTGGCGGAGGCGACGTCGGCCCCCGGGTCTCCCCAACATTCGCCGTGTCAGGCTCGGAGATCCTCCGGTTGCCGGGCGACCAAAGGCCGGCCGTCGGCTCGCCACCCGCAGCGTCGCCGCCGCACGAGTCAAGGGAGTCGAGGCATTCGAGCTCTCGCACGGCGGCGAGCCTCTCGCGCAGGGCCTCCAGCTCAAAGATGGCTCGCCGGTGGTCAGTGCGGCTCTGCTCCAGGAGGCCTCGCAGCCGCCCCACCTCCGCTGTGGCCTCCCGTAGCCGGGAGCGCAGCGCCCCACGCGCTGTGCAGCCCGCCTCGCCACCCTCCCTGCGCAGCTTGCGCACATCGAACGCCGCTCCCTCGCGACCCGAACCGTCGATGCACTCGCCGCCAGAGTCGTTGTCTATCGGCTCGGGCGGTGTGCAGTCTTGTGCCCCCCACGCAGGCGTCGCGTGCGCAGGCGTTGCGTGCGCAGGCGTCGCGTGTATAGGTGTCCCGTGCGCAGGCGTTGTGTGTGTAGGTGTTGTGTGTGCAAGCGCTGTGTGCTCGCGCATGTCGTCCTTGCCCCCCACGTGTCCCCCGTGACCCCGGTCGTACCCCGCGACCGCCCCTTGCTCCGGCAGCCAAGGGCGCGTTCCGCCCGCGCACTCGGGTGCCGAGAATCTGCGCCGCGAGAGCGTGAAGTCCACGTTACGAGTCCCCCAATCCCCCCCGAGGGTCCCAGCCCCCCCCCGATCCCAAGCATCCCCCCGTCCCCCATTGGCCTCGGCCATGTGTGCGGGGGGAAGGCCTCCCGCAGACGGGGGCCCGTACCCCTCCCCACCCCCTGTGAAGTCGCCTCGGCGATGCTGATTGTCGGCGGCGGCATGAAGGACGTGCTGGAGGAGACGGTTCTCCCGCTGCAATCGATGCACCTCCCCCGTCAGACATGCGACCTCTTCCCTGAGCTCAGCCTCAGGGCCGCAAGGCCCCTCACCGGCCTGTGGCAGACCAGAACCGCACTCGGCCACCTCGCAACAACCACACCCATGGAAAGTGTCCACAAGAATGGTAACCACTCGATCTCTCCACCACTCAACCACAAAACCACTCCACAACACAACCGCTCTACCACAAAACCACTCGACCACTCGTTTTCGCTTGCTGGAGCCTTACCGGCATGCTGCGGCGCCCGGCGCTGCTAGGACCAGATGATGAAGGCTAGCGAGAAAAACAAAAATAAAAACAAAAACTACAAAAAGCAAGAAAATGACCACAAAACGACACAAACAACACAACAGAGAGAGAGGAAGGGGCGGGAGAGAGCATGTTAAGGAACTGCCCACAGCAGCACTCACGGCAGCTGTAGAAACAGCTGACTCACAGCCGGCCTCGCGAGTACCCTCCAAGGGCACTGCACTTCATATTCTTAGCTCTTTCGGTAAAGTCACGTTGAAGGGAAACAATAAAATAATAAAATATATATAAAACAATACAAATTCTCACGACGTTTCGACCATAACACAAACGGTCGTCATCAGGTGTGTCGACACACCTGATGACACACCTGATGACGACCGTTTGTGTTATGGTCGAAACGTCGTGAGAATTTTTATTGTTTTATATATATTATTATTTTATTGTTTCCCTTCAACGTGACTTTACCGAAAGAGCTAAGAATATGAATTACTGCAGTCACGAAAGCTTTAAGGCACTGCACTTGTTAACGTCTTAACGGGATGTGTGGGATTCCTTTGATAGAGAACATGGCCCCATGTATTAACAGTTAACTACGACCCCTATGTCCACGCACGTGTATCTCACTAAGTGGCTGGTTAATTGAATGTTTCCACTTCCATTTATTTGTGTGTGGTTGCCAGGTAGATTGTTACATCGCAAGATTGTGAGAGTTGATAGCGGTGGACTGTGTTAGCGGTGGACTGTGTTAGAGGTGGACTGTGTTAGCGGTGGACTGTGTTAGAGGTGGACTGTGTTAGCAGTGGACTGTGTTAGCGGTGGACTGTTAATGGTGGACTGTGTTAGTGGTGGACTGTGTTAGAGGTGGACTATTTTAGTGGTGGACTGTGTTAGCGGTGGACTGTGTTAGAGGTGGACTGTGTTAGCAGTGGACTGTGTTAGTGGTGGACTGTGTTAGCAGTGGACTGTGTTAGCGGTGGACTGTGTTAGAGGTGGACTATGTTAGTGGTGGACTGTGTTAGTGGTGGACTGTGCTAATGGTGGACTGTTAATGGTGGACTATGTTAGTGTTGGACTGTGTTAGAGGTGAACTGTGTTAGTGGTAGACCGTGTTAGAGGTGGACTGTGTTAATGGTGGACTGTTAATGGTGGACTGTGTTAGAGGTGGACTGTGTTAGTGGTGGACTGTGTAAATGGTGGACTGTGCTAATGGTGGACTGTTAATGGTGGACTATGTTAGTGGTGGACTGTGTTAGAGGTGAACTGTGTTAGTGGTAGACCGTGTTAGAGGTGGACTGTGTTAATGGTGGACTGTTAATGGTGGACTGTGTTAGAGGTGGACTGTGTTAGTGGTGGACTGTGTAAATGGTGGACTGAGAGGTGGACTGTGTAAATGGTGGACTGTTAATGGTGGACTGTGTTAGAGGTGGACTGTGTTAGAGGTGGACTGTGTTAATGGTGGACTGTGTTAGTGGTGGGCTGTGTTAGTGGTGGACTGTGTTAGTGATGGGCTGTGTTAGTGGTGGACTGTGTTAGTGATGGGCTGTGTTAGTGGTGGACTGTGTTAGTGGTGGACTGTTAATGTCGGACTGTGTTAGAGGTGGACTGTGTTAGTAGTGGACTGTGTTAGTGGTGGACTGTGTTAATGGTGGACTGTGTTAGAGGTGGACTGTGTAAATGGTGGACTGTGTTAGCGGTGGACTGTGTTAGAGGTGGACTGTGTTAGCAGTGGACTGTGTTAGTGGTGGACTGTGTTATCAGTGGACTGTGTTAGCGGTGGACTGTGTTAGAGGTGGACTATGTTAGTGGTGGACTGTGTTAGTGGTGGACTGTGCTAATGGTGGACTGTTAATGGTGGACTGTGTAAATGATGGACTGTGTAAATGGTGGACTGTGTTAATGGCGGACCGTGTTAATGGTGGACTGTGTAAGCAGTGGACTGTGTAAATGAAGGACACTGCATATTCCCGAGGCTGTTGGAGTTGTATGTCCACCCTCTCCCACGGTTGTCCCCATCCTGATCTGGTGCTCACCTTCTCCTCTAGGTCCTTGATCTGTTCTCTCTGCCTCTCCAGCTTCTTCTCCAGGTCCCTGATCTTCTGCACAGCATGGGGGGGGGGGGGACGCACAGGGATGTGGGGGTGGTGGTGGAGCAGGAGGTGGGGTCGAGTGTGCACAGAAGGGTCGTAAGCGTAAAATGGGGTAGGGGAGGCAGGTTGGACACAGCAGGAATGGCGAAGTGCAGCGATCAGCACATTCACACACACATCACCAGCTGGAAGCCCATTGTGGCCGTTCACCGTTGTTAACTTACTGCGTTCATCTGCTGTTAAAGTCATGAACACTGGCGATTTTGCTCCTACACCTTTGATCGAATTCACGTTTAGAGGCTTAAACTGGTGAATCTCGAGCAACTCGGAGATTTCTCTTGAGATTTTGGCTGCGGGGAAACTGTCCCGTGGCCCCACCGACCCCACTCACGGACGTCACAGCTGGCACGGAACCAAACCTGGGCAATGGTGTGGTCCACCCTGTGGCGAGCGTGTAACACCCCGCCCTCCATCCCCCACACGCACAGCGCCATCCGCGACGACCCAACCGACAGAACGCAACGCCGCGGGCGATGGACGTGGCTAGAAATTAAAAATGCGGAGAGAGAGCGCGGTTCCCCACACAGGGCGCTCGGCTCGCTCGGCCCGGATACCCGTGAAGTGTGGTTGCTATGGTAACCCGGCATGCCAGCTGGAGGCTGGGGAGGAGGCAGGGGGTGGGGACCGCGTCGTTAGCCAATCAGCAGCAACCATCCCCCTTCACCGGGGCCCCTCTTGCCCAACCCTCCTCGCTGATGCAGAGACCTCATTGATTTTAGATTTAGGGGACGAGTATAGAGACAAATGAGTGCAGCCTCGTGGGAGGAGAGGGGCAGACGCGAGGTCGCTTCTCCGGCACAGCGGCTGTGACGGCTGCTCGTGACACGACAGCGCTCACGTTCTTAAAATGGTTGCTCAAAGTCCGTGATTGAGTCTTCTCCTCACGGTGTGAGCAGCCTCTATGATACTCCGGTCACATGCTCTTTTGCCTCACGATGCATTGTGATTGAATCTTCCTCACGATGCATTGTGATTGAATCTTCCTCACGATGCATTGTGATTGAATCTTCCTCACGATGCATTGTGATTGAATCTTCCTCACGATGCATTGGGATTGAATCTCTCACGATGCATTGTGATTGAATCTCTCACGATGCATTGTGATTGAATCGTCCTCACGATGCATTGTGATTGAATCTTCCTCACGATGCACTGTGATTTAATCTTCCTCACGATGCATTGTGATTTAATCTTCCTCACGATGCATTGTGATTGAATCTTCCTCACGATGCATTGTGATTGAATCTTCCTCACGATGCATTGTGATTGAATCTTCCTCACGAGGCATTGTGATTGAATCTTCCTCACGATGCTTTGTGATTTAATCTTCCTCCCGATGCATTGTGATTTAATCTTCCTCACGATGCATTGATTGAATTTTCCTCACGATGCACTGTGATTGAATCTTCCTCACGATGCATTGTGATTGAATCTTCCTCCCGATGCTTTGTGATTGAATCTTCCTCACGATGCATTGTGATTGAATCTTCCTCACGATGCACTGTGATTTAATCTTCCTCCCGATGCTTTGTGATTGAATCTTCCTCACGATGCATTGTGATTGAATCTTCCTCACGATGCATTGTGATTTAATCTTCCTCACGATGCATTGTGATTGAATCTTCCTCAGGATGCATTGTGATTTAATCTTCTTCACGATGCATTGCGATTGAATATTCCTCACGATGTATTGTGATTAAATCTTCCTCACGATGCATTGTGATTTAATCTTCCTCCCGATGCATTGTGATTTAATCTTCTTCACGATGCATTGTGATTGAATATTCCTCACGATGCACTGTGATTGAATCTTCCTCACGATGCATTGTGATTGAATCTTCCTCACGATGCATTGTGATTTAATCTTCTTCACGATGCATTGCGATTGAATATTCCTCACGATGCACTGTGATTGAATCTTCCTCACGATGCATTGTGATTGAATCTTCCTCACGATGCATTGTGATTGAATATTCCTCACGATGCACTGTGATTGAATCTTCCTCAAGATGCATTGTGATTTAATCTTCCTCACGATGCATTGTGATTGAATCTCTCACGATGCATTGTGATTAAATCTTCCTCAAGATGCATTGTGATTGGATATTCCTCACGATGCATTGTGATTGAATCTTCCTCACGATACATTGTGATTGAATCTTCTTCACGATGCATTGTGATTGAATATTCCTCACGATGCACTGTGATTGAATCTTCCTCACGATGCATTGTGATTGAATCTTCCTCACGATGCATTGTGATTTAATCTTCTTCACGATGCATTGCGATTGAATATTCCTCACGATGCACTGTGATTGAATCTTCCTCACGATGCATTGTGATTGAATCTTCCTCACGATGCATTGTGATTTAATCTTCCTCACGATGCATTGTGATTGAATCTTCCTCACGATGCATTGTGATTGAATATTCCTCACGATGCACTGTGATTGAATCTTCCTCAAGATGCATTGTGATTTAATCTTCCTCACGATGCATTGTGATTGAATCTCTCACGATGCATTGTGATTAAATCTTCCTCAAGATGCATTGTGATTGGATATTCCTCACGATGCATTGTGATTGAATCTTCCTCACGATACATTGTGATTGAATCTTCTTCACGATGCATTGTGATTGAATATTCCTCACGATGCATTGTGATTGAATCTTCCTCACGATACATTGTGATTGAATCTTCCTCACGATGCATTGTGATTTAATCTTCTTCACGATGCATTGCGATTTAATCTTCTTCACGATGCATTGCGATTGAATATTCCTCACGATGCACTGCGATTGAATATTCCTCACCACGCATTGTGTTTGAATCAT